TGGAAGAGTGAGGAGCTGCCCCACATTGGACCCCAGGGAGGTAGGGAGGCTAGATGGGCCTCAATAAATAAAATGTGTGAGTCAGTGTGTGAGTGTTTTACTGTCAGTGAGTGTGTGTGTGTGTGTCTGTCTGTCTGTCTGTCAGTGAGTGTCTGACTGTGTGTGTCTGTCAGTGAGTGAGTGTATGTTTGTCAGTGAGTGTGTGTGTGTCTGTCAGTAAGTGTGTGAGTGTATGTCTGTCAGTGAGTATCTGCCTGTGTGTGTGTCTTTCAATGAGTGAGTGTATGTATGTCAGTGAGTGTGTGTGTCTGTCAGTGAGTGTGTGAATGTATGTCTGTCAGTGAGTGTCTGCCTGTGTGTGTCAGTGAGTGAGTGGATGTATGTCAGTGAGTGTATGTGTGTGTGTGTGTCTGTCAGTGAGTGAGTGTATTTCTGTCAGTGAGTGTCTCTGTGTGTGTGTGTGTGTGTGTGTGTCTGTCAGTGAGTGAGTGTATATCTGTCAGGGAGTGTCTGTGTGTGTGTGTGTGTGTGTGTGTGTGTGTGGCTGTCTGTCTGTTAGTGAGTGAGTGTATGTCTTTCAGTGAGTGTGTGTGTCTTTGTCAGTGAGTGACTGTATGTCTGTCAGTGAGTGTGTGTGTGTGTTTGTGTGTGTGTCTGTCTGTCTGTCAGTGAGTGTCTGACTGTGTGTGTCTGTCAGTGAGTGAGTGTATGTTTGTCAGTGAGTGTGTGTGTGTCTGTCAGTAAGTGTGTGTGTGAGTGTATGTCTGTCAGTGAGTGTCTGCCTGTGTGTGTGTCTTTCAATGAGTGAGTGTATGTATGTCAGTGAGTGTGTGTGTCTGTCAGTGAGTGTGTGAATGTATGTCTGTCAGTGAGTGTCTGCCTGTGTGTGTCAGTGAGTGAGTGGATGTATGTCAGTGAGTGTATGTGTGTGTGTGTCTGTCAGTGAGTGAGTGTATTTCTCTCAGTGAGTGTCTCTGTGTGTGTGTGTGTGTGTGTGTGTGTCTGTCTGTCAGTGAGTAAGTGTATATCTGTCAGGGAGTGTCTGTGTGTGTGTGTGTGTGTGTGGCTGTCTGTCTGTTAGTGAGTGAGTGTATGTCTTTCAGTGAGTGTGTGTGTGTGTGTATTTGTCAGTGAGTGACTGTATGTCTGTCAGTGAGTGTGTGTCAGTGAGTGAGTGCATGCGTGTCAGTGAGTAAGTGTATGTGTGTCAGTGAGTGTGTGTCTGTCAGTAAGTGTGTGTCTACCAGTGTGTGTCTGTCAATGAGTGAGTGACATGGGGGGGCGGCAAAATGGACCTGCCTAGGGTGACAGAAATTCTTGCACCGGACCTGCAGATAGAGGCTTTAAATAAACCCATTAGTTTTTAGTCGACTAAAATCTACTGGAGACTTAGTTGACTAAAACTAAAACAACTCAGATAACAAAAATAAGACTAAAACTAAATTGAAATTTGCTGCCAAAATTAACACCGCCCCCAGCCCCTCTAGGTGTCTGTCTCTTTTACAGCACCTGTGTGAAGTTTTAATTTTGGCGGTGAATTTCAATTTAGTTTTAGTCATAGTCTTTTGACTAAAAATCAATTTTAGTTTTAGTCTAGTTTTAGTCGACAAAATTATATACGGTATGCTGTCTCTATTGTGCAAAGGACAGAGCTTAGAACAACGACAGACAGGGAGCGCCCAGTTGGCGGATATAGAATTGTGAATTTCTACAATTAATTGTATTTTTCAGACATCACATATAAATATTTGTTGTATCATAGGTGATAAGTAAACATAATATTAAAAACCATGGGAAGTAACAGATCCAATTAAAAGCGAATATTTATTCTGCAATAAAATGTGAGTCCAAAGGATTGATATACTAATTTGCTGCTTATTAAATAATAATTATTGACATATTCTGTGTTTTTTAGCCTAGTAGCGTCGTTTTATTAAAATATTAATATATAATAATAATAATAATAAGCCTGCAAAATGGACAGCTTGTCAGAAATTAGGACAGCTTAGTCTGGCATGATCGCCCCAGTAGGGCAGGCTGTGCTCTCTATGCAAACAAAATAACAAGTCAACAAATCCACGCTTCAACTGTTGACAAAGCATTCGCTGCACAGGCAAAACAGGTTCACTTTTATCAGGCGCGTGGTATCTCTCCCTCCTTCCCACATTTATGTACAGCTTGCTAAATTTCATTGTTTTTCTGCCATTACTATTGAATGTTTTCTATCTACATGGATGTTTAATACAGAGTAGAGTTTATGGTGAAGTGCAACATTTGGTTCTCTCTGCCTGGTACTAGCAACTTGACATCATTGAGCAGAGTCAAAAGTACTTCTAAAGATGTCCTGATGACCCCATATGGGCACCAGGGAAACAACCCAGGATGGCAGGACAACAACATTGGGATGGTCCCACCAGATCCAAACTGGTGGGAAGTATGTCAACTGTAGCTTTGTAGATATTGTTAGACTACAAGTCCCATCATTCTCTGCCTAGCAAGAATGACATAGAATTATGGTTGGTTGTGGTGTAACATCTGACCTGTCCCAGTTTGACACCTGTGTCCTATATAACCTCAGTCCTACATGGTACATGAGACAGGAGTGTTTGGGACCAATTGTCATAGAGGCAAAATGTGATAAAATCCAGCATGCATAATTTATACATTCTCTCCAACATTGCTTCATCCTCCTATAATCAGCCTGTTATTTTTAATGTCCTATTATAAACTTATTTTATTTCCCTACCATTTTATTTTAGCACTTTCAGGAAATGGGTTCTTACTTGCTAACCCCTGTTCCAGTAAAATATATTGTCTTTCACCGTTACGTTTGCACAAGCGATGAATCCCAAACATTCTTTGAGAACATTCTAATAATCTTATATCTTAGTAGCTCTGTATTACAACGGTGAGTAAGATAGACTAACTGTCTAGAAAACTCTTTGCTGACGCCACTCCATGCCTTTCATAAGACAGATAATAAAATAAAAACATAAAACAGATTTATTGTGTTTTGAAAGTATGAACATTGTGTCTTAAAGCAGCCTTAGTATCATAACGTGAGTTTACTTTACAGTAAAACCTGCTTAAATAAAATATCAGCCGGGTTATAGTTAATAAACTGAATTTAATCACTGTCAGGGTTATTCACTAACGTTATATTTGTCTTGAAGTTAAAGTGAATCAAATCAAATTTTATGCCAAAATAGTTTAACCGAAAACATAAATGACTGAGTATTTCTCCAGTGTGGCAGATTATATATAGAGGGTTTCTATGGGGTGATTGTCATGCGCGCTAGTCCTGCAGTGCTTTTCTATGGGGAAGCATTACATTGGCTGAGATTGCCAGTAATGATAATCTCAATCAGGACGGGCGTTTCAGAATGCCTGGGGGCTAAAGGCAAGTTAATCTACTTATTTTATTATTTCTGAGTGGGTTGGTGGGTATAAATCTAACTAGTTAAGAAAACGCTATAATGTTAGGAATACATGCTTGTATTCCTAACGTTGGATTTCTCGTTTAAATTCAGTTTGATTTCCTGAAAAGTTTCACTTTAATAAATAACCTTTACTAAAACTAGATACTACTATTACTTTACTATTACTTTACTAATACTTTACTAATAATTTACTAACACTAGAATTCTAATCTCCCAGATCAGCACCAGTGTATAAGGGACGTTATTAGAAATAATGTTTATCTCATCGGTTGCCTGACATTGAATCTTACCACGCTGCAGGTTTTTGGTAGTACATTACACTTTACTTGGACACTGGCAGAGTTATTTACTAAACTCTGAATGTTTGTGAATTGAATCCAAATGGCAAAACAGGGTTAAAATTAGCTAAGCTGTGACTAGGCCTGGCTTGGAGAATATTTACAGATCAGGTTTTTCCTTTGTTAGTTTAGATTTAGGGTCCCCACTGTTTCTCAGAATAAATAATAAACTTATCTCTAATCCAGCGGTGGGACTGTCTGCTCTGCGCACCCCACTATGTTCCCCATGATGAGATCCTTGGTATTGATGATCTCCTGGCCAATACAAAGGGGACCTGTTTCTCGTGGAAAGGCACGTGAATGCCACAATCTGCCAGCACTGCTTCTCAGAGAGACCATTGAAACCAATCAGATGCTCTCACTTCCACTTAAAAAAGTTGAGTTAGAGATTTTTCACCTTGGCTATTTTGGCATAAAACCTGTTTTTTAATGTAGAAGTGTTGTAAAAAAAAACCTATCAACATTGGTCATTATGAAACAGGACTTGGGGTTGTGGGGTGGGCTGGGGTAGGAAGGGCCATTAATACTTTACGCATCACTGGTAACACTGCAAAAGGACCATGTCCCTCTGTAAAGTTGTTTGCCAACCTGACATGCAGCTCCATGGGTATTGGGTAGTCACATTCACCAGCCCATGCACAGAGCACTGTTGAATCTCTTTCACATGGGCAGAATGCCTTACTTCGGGTTGCCCACTGTGAGTCCATCTAATGATGAACTTGCACTATGTTTATTGGGGTGAAACCTGGAATGGTGGGCAATGACCTAAATTTAGGACTACCCCACACATTTGGGTCCATTTGGATGTATACACTACAAAGTGTACTCTTTTCAGAGGTATTGTTGAGCTGCATCAGTACTCAAATTTACAGACTGCATCGAAAACGAAAAGCAGCCATATCTCCAATATTTGCCACGGGAGTGTTACCTCGCAATAAAAACAAAGGTAGTTTCTTCCCATGTCTTAAATAAGTTTCATGTTAAGGGTCCTCTCTGAGTTATACAGAGGACAGTGAGAGGTGGCACCTGGCAAATATGTGCTGATAGACTCTTTAGTATTTGCCCCAGTGGAAAAACAGATTTAATAAAAAATAAAACAACTTTAGTAAACATTGGAGCCAACGGACACAGTTTAAGAATTTATTTGGAATTTCTTGCATTCAGAGGTAAGACGTGTTACTGTGCTTTTGAGTGTTTCCATTAAAATAAAAGAGTTCTTTGGTTAGAAGTAATTAACCACCCGTCTGATGGACTGAATATTTGCACTCTGGGCCTGCCATTCGTTAAAGCTGCGGTAATCTCCCCTCTCCACAATGTACATACGTCCACGGTAGTTGGGCTCTTCATAAAGCACCCAGCTAAAAGACAAAATAAGAATCAGTTGGGAGGAAATCATCAGCAGAGCTTAGTTCTTTATGAGATCACTTTGCTTGTTGCACTATTTAAAATAACGAGACTATCTCTTGGTCTCTATTTAACACTACGGAAACATCTCCAGAATGGTAAGGCCCATTTAGATGTTGGGGTAGACAAGGATCACAGATGTCCAAGGACAAGCTGAGGAGGTAGATGGGGGCAAATGTCCTAAGGTTTGATTAAATGACTTTGGTTTAGTAGATTTTCTACAATTTCCCACTGGCAGCGAGTTCATTATACTGACCCGCCATTGTCTTTGTAATGGTTCCAGTACATTGCCCAAGGCATTGGCATCTATATGGGAATCAGGGCAGAACTGGCAACAGGGCACAACAATTGTCATCTTCTTGCACACAAAACTCACATATATCTGTGTGGATGGTCCTACTCATGCCATCATGAGATACATGGATTTGACAGATGGAGGCTGCTGGAGTGTCATGGTTTGACATCATACATCCCTACAACCTCCATCAATATGATATGTGCAACAGGAAGGAGAACTAACTGAGATATTTGCACCTGTGACTGTGAGCACTACATCATCCTACAGTCACATATAAATACCTCCAGGGAATGCACCAACAGACATCCCAACACACCTTCTGCTATTTTAACGCCGCAGAAGAACGGTGTGAGGCTGCAGCCAACAAGACCTGTATGGTAGTAGAATTTGGGCACAGTTGCCTCCTGTCTGCCTTGCCAGCCCACCAATGAGCATGGATTCTCTGACAGTAAACTCTGCCAATAAGGATTTGTCGGGGTTTCAGGTAGATTATTTGGGAGGATTTATATGTCCATACTCTTCTAGAAAAGTCTAGTTTGTTTCCTCATATGATTATGTGTTGTGTGCAAATGATTTCTACATGTTTTTGTTACATCTTTGTGTGCTCTAGAGATTAAATGTTTGGTCAGAAGGTGATCAACACTTACCATTGGTTGGAAAGCACTAATGTTGTAAAAGTGTTTTTGTTTTCTTTTACTTTGAAGTAAAGATAATGTAATGAAAAACATGCCATGGCATGTGAATTTATAGATACTGACACATTATTCTAGATCTCCCAGCCCCTCACACTTCATTACTTACGCGCCATCGCCATAGACTTTCAATGCATTCACACAGTTCTTGTTCCACCCTCTTCCTTGCAAGAAGGGGCAGTCCTCGCAGAATTCCATGCACTGGCCAGTGAAATTGCACCCTTCGAAAAGTTCCAGTCTGTAATGTTCACCGTGCTGGAGCGGAAGGAACAGAGGGCAGCAGGTTAGTAAGAGTTGAGAGATGGCTTATGGAGATGGCTTATGTGTTTCTATCTAGCTCCAGGGCCCAATGTTGCAAAATTATCTGCAGACACAAAACTAGAGACGAGAGGCATTAGTTGACCAGTTAATGAAAGAATTAGAAATTATGAGGCTCCTCAAAATCCAGAGAGTAAGGGCCGTTCAAGTCATATTTTGATGGGATCATTTTTCACATTTCTGCATTGTCTCTGTGTAAATTCAGTATCTGTGCTGACTATCTGTTGCACAGGATTAATTTCTAGATTGAAGAGAATATGGTACATTATATTATTTATTATCAGAAATATGACATAATTTAACATCTATATTGGAATGTCTTGACTTCATCAAGCTGACCTGTTATAAGGGCATCAGACAACAACCAGACTATGGGGTAAATGGGGCGGAGAAGTATAACGAAAAGGGTAAATGGGGCAAAGAGCGACAAAGAAATGGGTATCTGGGCCAGGGAGGTAAAGTGGTTTGAGAAACTGAAATTGAGAGGGAATATCAGGTGGGCGAGTAAGAAAAGTTAAATTGAACATGGGAAAATTAAAGGGATTGAAAATAAGTGGGAGGAGAACTGAAATGAAAAATGAGAGGAGAGGAGTAAGATGGAGCAGTCTGCAATGGGCAAATGCCCGGAATCCTTTAAATAGGCCCCAGAATTTTTGATGGAAGCACCAATCACAGTGTGTTAGCCACCTGGTTAAAGGGACACTGTAGGCACTATTACCATTTAGTCTCACTGAATTGGTTATAGTACCTGGAGTCCACTGGCGCTGTCACTTCATTGAGTGTTAAACGGGTTTAGACCAGTGTACCACTGAATGAGAGTACCACCCCCACTGGAGGTGTGGCTAAGGCAGAAATTACACACTTCCTTCTAACCATAGTGAGTCATACCAGCAATAAGTACAGTGATAGGCTGTATTTGGTCAGCTGACATTCTCAGCCAATCACAGGGTCCATTGTCACTCATGCTAATACTTCCTCATTGGCCCAAACAGCACTGAGCGTTTGGGAACTCTGGTTTAGCATTAAAACATTAAAAACAGTTTAACACTGAATGGAAAGACAGCGTTATGGGACGCCGGACACTATAATCACTTCAGTGAGATAAAGTAGTTAGGATGCCTATCGTGTCCCATTAATGAAAAACTACCCACAATGCAAATCTTCAAATGTAATACAAACCATTCTAACAGGTCGACTGGACCCCATGTGGTCGTTGTGTCCATTCCAGCGATGAAAGTCCGGATACTCCCCCCTTTCCAGGATATACTGCTGTCCTTTAAAGTCAGGGTGGTCATAACAGATCCAGGCTCCACTTTCTACCTTAATAGAGTTCACACGATTCATGAACCCCCTATCCTGGAAATTATCGCAGTCTCCGAACACCTCCAACTTGCGTCCTGTGAAGCATTTTCCCTCGTAAAAAATTATCTAAACAAAGAATTAGACACCATGTTACTCTTAAATGTTTCTTGATTGAACATATCATCGCTACCAAATAAATTTTTTTACATGACAATCTAAAATGTTGATTGGAGATTTCTCTAGTAGAAACTATGAAAATCTATAAAATATGGATCTCTGCATACGCTGCTAAAAAGTAAAAACAGAAAGCTGACTTTTTTTTCTTTAAAGGGTTACTCCAACTTTTTTTTTGCCTTTCATTATTTTGTCTTGATAGTGCCCTGTTGGACACTAGTTAATAGCCCCCCCCCCCCCCCCACCCCCTTCTCCCCCATTACCGTCTAAAACCTTCAGCAATCCAAGGCCAGGCAAGGGTCTTCAATGACCGGTCCAACATTTGGCCAAGTCATTCCCTTCTGGTCAGCTTCATGCTTCACAGAGAAGCATTTGATAGGACCATTTCACTTGATCAGAGCGCATGCGCTCATCATTAAAACCGGAATTAAGTAACGTTTAGATGGGTGTACATACCTGACAAACAATTTGCTGTATGTGACAAGTTCAACACTTTAAAGGCAGCCCATGTAATTACATCTTGATCAATATGGGGGGATTGAGCGGGAGGTCATAAATACGTTTTAAACAAAAACAAAGCTTTGGTCACATTCTGGAAAGATTAATCTAGAATGGCCATGTGTAAAAACACATATTTATATCTTGATGTCTCACATGGATTAAGCACAAGGTAGGTTGTGGAATGTTGGTCTATTTGAATCCCATATCTAGGTGTTGCTAAAATTTCTCTGTAAGTGAGAAGCAGAGATTCTGCTTAATTAAGGAGCAATGTTGCTTTTCCGGAAGGTACGTATCACTGACTTACCAGGATTTACAAATTGCATTATTCTGTAATATTCAAACTCTGATATAGACATTTCTCAATATGTGGACATAAAAGGGAAACTCAATCACACAAAAATAAATTCAGCGCGGAAGCAAAATTATAATAGTCCAAAAGCAGCTTGAACACCAAGCAGTCTCTCTTTTCCAATCAGAAAACTGGATAAAAACAGGTGGGTAGGTGCAGTGCTTCAGTAATTCTTGACAAGGTATATGTGGAGAGAACCATAGAAGAATAGTGTAGTATTTTAAAACTGTAGTGGTGATAGGTAAGATAAAAGATGTGCACTCACACTTTCCTGGAGCTTCAATGCAGCTCCAGTGTATGTGCCTGTTCGGAATAATCCCAGCCTATGGATCAAGTGCACCAATAAAGTTTTAAAATACTACACTATTATTTCTTCTCTGTTCTCTTCACCTATACCTTGTCCAGAATTATTGAAGTGCTGCACCTACCCCCCTGTTTTTACTTAAGGGAAACTATAGGCACCAAAACAACTTTAGCTTAATGAAGTAGTTTTGCTGTATAGATCATGCCCCTGCAATCTCACTGCTCAATTATCTGTCATTTAGGAGTTAAATCACTTTGTTTATACAGCCCTAGTCACACCTCCCTGCACATGACTTACACAGACGTCCTAAACACTGCCTGTAAAGAGACATCTAATGTTGACCCTTTATTTATTGCACAGTCTTTAAAAAGCCTTATTTCCTGCTCTGTTAATATCATTCTAAAGCATATATGTAAGTTACATTTACAGAACAGGAGATAAAAACATCTAAAACAAATCAACAGCTGATTAAAATTAAAACATTTTGTTTTCATTCAGGCTTTGTCAGTTACAGGGGAGGTCTGGCTACGGCAGCATAAACTGAAACAAAAGTGATTTAACTCCTAAATGGCAGTGAGACTACAGGGGTGTGTTCTATACACCAAAACTGCTTCATTAAGCTAAAGTTACTTTGATGCCTATAGTGTTCCTTTAATGAACAAAATTTCTGGGCTAATGTTGTTGGCCTCCTCATCAGTGGCAGAACTAATGTAGAGAGGTGCAAGAATAGTTTTGTGCCCCCATCTAGTACAAGAATGATATAAAATAGATCCCCTTGTGTCATACAACTACCCCAATGCTACGCCAGCTGGAGATCTAACATTTGCCCATCCTTGCAGGGTTGTATTTGTGAGTAGTGTGTGGGTGTTTGAATATAATCATGTTTTTGTATAGAATATGCCTGTGAAAGTAGATGTGTATTTGTATGTACTGTTGCCATTGGAATGTCAACTGAGTTTTTGTAAGTAGCTTGGGATTTTGAATGCAGGTGTGCTTTTGTGTGTAGTGTTGGTGTTTGTGTAGTGTTGGTGTTTTTTTTTTAAATCTCTGGAAAATGGCTTAACAAAACCACAGAATGGCACCAGGTGCATACCGGCATCAAACCCACTATGAGTGTAGTAGGGGTTAGGGTGCATAGAGTAACTGTTTAACCCCTTAAGGACCAAACTTCTGGAATAATTGGGAATCATGACATGTCACACATGTCATGTGTCCTTAAGGGGTTAAACAGTTTTTAGCAGTCTCTGTCAGAGAGTAATAAGACAAAGAAGCACTTCACAGGGATTTCATATATAAATGAGGCTGTATGTAGTGTTGAGGTATGCCCTGTGTGTATAATTATATCTTGCATCCTTTCTTCATGACATAACTGGACGAAGCTGAACTGGTCAAGTTGTGTGGACTTGTGCCCATCCTCCTGTCGGGGGATATTTTGGAATCCCATTAAATAAACGTGAGCCACTTGTAACTTCCCTGTAGCACCTGACTAGATAGTCGAGATAAAGATTGCCATTTGGTAAATGGAAATAAAGGTGAAGAGTGAGAGGCAGATATAATTTTACACAGGGCGTCTCCATAATTCAGAATGGATACAAGGCTTGTGTGATGGTGTGTAAATAAGGTAAACATATGGCTTGACAGCCATGGTAAGAGGTTTGTTCCAGAAGGATCCATAGTTTACCTCCATTTGTAGAAAGAAAGCACCCAGGTTTCAGGTTAACTTATAATATTTATTTGTGCTCCCAGACAATAAAAACAAAGATGGCGTGACCGATAGCTGGTCTTTGACAAAAAATTTCCTTTAGAGATAATTATGAAAGGGCTGTTGACTTTGTTCTGTGCTTCTCACCCTGATAAAAAGCTGGATATTGGAAAGTTGTGGATACTGATCCCTTCATGGCCGTTTGGACACCACTAACAAACCATTCTCACATGGCTGGGTAGGATAATAATAATGCAGACTTCATCATTTGGTTAAATTTCACAGACCTACCTTGAGGACTGCTTTTCTCAATTCATACAGTTGGTTTATGAGGGAGTGCTTGTTCACAATTTACATTGTATGAAAAAAAAGCCCTGACATTTTGAAGACAATGGAATGCGGTGAACATATACAGTCAGCCCTTCTTTTAGTATTATCAAATCCCAGGCATGTGTTATTTATCATCGTTGGTTCAATTCTGCTGTACAGTTTGGTGAACGCGGCCCCCATAGGAGGAGAGGGAGTGACTTTTAAAAACAACAGAAATATTGTTAACAGAGTTATATTTAGTATAGATAAACTAAAAATCTAATTTTTTACATATCTGAGAGTGACAGTTCCACTCCATCCCCCTTCCTCCCTCCCCCACACCCCCACCCCCCATCTCCAATGCAAAAAAATATTAATGATCAGATATGAGCATTAGCTAAGAAAGGCCAGGGAGAGAACACCCCACAGCTAACATTTACGTAGATTTGAGATTGTGCCAAAAACCTACATGTGACCGTTTTCCTTTAAGGTTTTATACTCAGCACTTTTTGGCCAATCCTTTTACATGAATGTTTATGTTGTGAATAGGCTCTCAGATAATATTCTTTAATTGTTTTTATAACTTTTTTTGTTATTGGACTTTTCTACACGGGGCACTGTAAGATTTGTATTTCAAACCAAACTGGCCCAGTTCAGCTGTTTAAACATTTAAGTGATTGGTTTCCACTGACACTGCTTTGGCAAGAGATATCTTTGGCAGGATTCAAAACTCAGTATTGTGCAAGTCATGCTGTCGTGTTGAGAGAAATTATATTACATTTTAGCACAAAAAAAAAAAACCCACAGAATGGCTCCTTTATTGCAATGGTACATGTAACGTGGAAGCAGTTTCCACAAAAAGAAATTTATAAATACAAACATAAACCTCAAATTGTCGTAAGCTCCTAACCATATTAAAATGCAGAACATTCTATTGAATATGGAGAAATCTGATCTACAGCTCGATATATTCTAGCTGAAATTAAATATGTTTCTGCAATTATGATAGCAAAGACATAAAATAGCCATCAGCAACCCAGGAACATCTACTTTAATTAATACTTAAAGGAGCAGTCACTATAATTGAAAACTAAATGTATAGTTTTTAGCTTTTTTTATTATATGGCAAACTTCACAAACTTCTGATTGTTGGGGCTGTCGATGTTCCAAACAGTTAGACAGGGCAGATGCTGCCTGGAATGTAACTGGTTGGCTACATTCACATCAGATACAAGCATCATATAAAATGTCTAAACGAGGTTTAAACCTCAAAGGAATCCTTTAACTCTCAGATTCTACAGATGTCCTCTGCTCATGTGAGCTATATCAAAAGTGTGATTTTTTTTATATTTTTTTAAGAATTAGCTCTAATATTTACTTTCTTGCAGTGCCATTCTACTGTAAAGAAGGACTCAGATGGCATAATTGTCCATTTATTTAAGTTTCATTAAACTTTCATTTTTATCCTGACTGCCCAAATGGAAAGGGAACCAAAATGTATTTTTTTTTTTTTTTTAAACACGCATTGACTGCAACACCGTTAATCGTTGCATTTTGGAATTTATTATAATTATGAATTTATAGTATGACAATTGTTCGCTATTTTTTTCCCTGCGTATCTCCTACAGAGAGCCCTATACTTATAGTACAAAATGCTTACTAAAAATAAATAAATACAAATGTAAATGAATAAATAAAATGTTTAAAAAATCATTAATCACTTACTTTTCCAGAATATTGAGACATCTTTCTACTGGATCCTGTCCAACCCAACGCACTAGCCAAGAAATCTGACAGATCGAAAATTTGGACAACCCAATATATATTGCAGGGCAGACAGGAGCTGGTATCGCGAGGTTCATGTAACAATACGGCAGCTATAGAAGGTTTAACGTTTTTGCTTCATAGGCAGAATCCCCCTGAACCTGGCACTGCTGAGCCTAGAGTTTTAATATATTGTAGACACGGAAACAAAAGATTTGCTCGGCGGGGATTTGGCTAACAAGAGCTGCAGTTTTGCAACATCTTTTATGTTACAGTATATTGTATAGATTGGACATCATCTATTAAAGAAATGTACTGTGCATTACAGGGAGAGTCAAGGGAGTGTTTTCTGCACGGTTTGTTAATAACGCACAGGAATGAACATTAAACTTTTAATGAACACTATAGCGTGGAGATATCATAAATGTATATATTATCGTCTACAAAACTATTGTACAGCCTAGAGGAAAATATTGGTTTGTTATGTATATCTGGTAAGAATTATATTGAAAAGAAGGTGGGAGATAGGCGGCGCCAATAAATACAGATAAGGCAACTATGTAATAATGTTAAAAATAATAATAATTAATAATAAAATGAAGCTAGAGAGTTCCAGAAACAGAGTTCAGTAAAATCTTGCTAAGACTCTGGACGTACAGAACGATAGTTCTATAAATGGGTAGTCGCTCTGTAATGTAGTGGTTTTCTTAAAGTCTGTATGTGGAGATAAAAGAAACAACTGATGGTGTGATATATTCAACAAGCAGGTAGCAGGCTGGTAAAAAGTCTGATATGATCCTACTCACGTTTTAAAGAGCTAAAAAACCAGCTCTAGTATGAAGTACGTTCAGTGGTATAATCCCCACTTATTGGATACGTGAGATGGTGTCTTGTCTGAAGGAGGGTCATATGAAATATAAAAGGAGCAGTGTTCTCTATTTAAAAAACAGGAGTACGAAAATAAAATATAAAGTGGTTACTCACATTTACATGAGCAGGCAGACTGTTCAATGTATAGGGCTTGAGTGGTATAATCCCCACCTAGGATTCTTTGGACTAATGTCTCACTGGAACAGGAGAAAAACTCAGGAGCCAGGTAAAAAAGTATTAAAATAAAATAAAAAAGTAAAATGGCAACTCACAGAGAGGAAGTAACCAAAATACCTTTAATAAAATACAATACAGTTATTAAAATGTCCACAACGCGTTTCACCAGCAGGCTTTTTCAAGTGGAAGTGTGTGAAGAATCATATTGCTATCCAGGAAATAAGGAGAGGTCTATTAAACTACTTGAAAGGAAAAATAAAAAAATAAACTTTGTCATAATGATTTTATATCATATTTTGTTATTTGTGCTTTATATGTCACTAAAGAAAATAGTGATTATAAAGCTATTGTTACATTAAATAGCAAAGAAAATGAACATGTAAATATATAACAAATGGAGTGTTAAAAAGACACATTAGTTTGTATTTGTTGCATGTGATTTGTCAAGGCATAGATAAAAGTTTTAAACATAGTAAAAATTGCTGTGAAAATGTTCATATAATAAAAAAGACTATCTGTCTGTCTGTCTGTCTATCTTTTGTCTTTCAAAATTCTGCCAAGTTTTATACCACTATTACATCTTTGTGGGCTTTCTGCGATGATTCTGTAAACAAACAGGATTATTCAATGTGACCCCCATAATAGCATAAGGGAGATTAAAATCTCCCGAATGCCTCTACTCACTCTGCCGCGAGTAGGGGGCATGTCACTGTTGTAAACCCCCCCATCTATTAAAAAAGCTTCCTCCACCTAACTATTAACTAGCGGAGGGGACATAGTGACAATGACAGGGGACCTATTGTCCCCGCCCCAGGCCCCATGGGCGGCGGGTGGGGGCCCAAGTGACAATGGGGGGTGCATAGGTCCTTTCCCCGGCCCCCAACCATGAGCGGCCCCCTGCATGAAAATAGGGGGAAAATATTGTCCCCCCCCTGACTCCCACCCATGAGTGGTGGGTGGTGGCTCTAAATGTAAGGCATCGCGAGTTCAGGTGAGAATTGTGGGAAAATTCCTTTGACCGCGAGAAGCAGGTCAGGCGTAGGAAACCTCCATAAGACAAAGTAGTCCCTACTTTGTCTTATGTTTTAAAGAAAACTAGAGCAGACAGGAAAAAAAAGAAGAACAGATCCTGAGAGACGGAGAGAAGAGGAAGCGATTGGGGTAAGTTCGGATAGACAGTGCCACTTTAAGAAATAGACAGAACAGATTGTAATTATAACTTTAAAATGAACTACTAAAATAAATCTACAAGCAGACTGTGAATTCTGGTTTATGTCTAACTTTCAAGAGAGAAAATAAAAGATAATAAAAGGATAATTTCAAGCAACATAAATAATCACTATGGGCAACTATGAGTCAAACCATTTTAGAATAATTTGACAACTTACCCGGGAGCCAGAGGCTCTTGCCCTGTGGCATGTACAGTCGGACTAAAAGGAAACTGTCATGGTTTACCTGGCCCTCCGCTCTCCCGCTGCAATCTCATTAAAGAGGTGGATATTACACATTGGTTAACCCTACCTTCGCTCCACCCGCACTCCTACTGCCCTCTTTGTTGATAATCCCTGCTGCAGGTTCTCATGCATAGCTCAAGGACATCCATCGTCGTTTGCACGACCAAAAGTCGTCTAAGAAGCTGGAAGTCCCTCTAGTGGCTGTCTCAGAGACAGCCAGTAGAGAAGGACTTAACCCTGCAAGGTAAATATTGCAGTTTATAAGAAACGGCAATAATTACACTGGGCAGTGTTAAGGGTGATGGGAGTTGGCACCCAAACCACTTCAATGAGCTGGAGTGGTCTGGGTGCCTACAGCACCTACAGTAAAGCCTCTATCTGTCTCTTTTGCCCTTCCCCAGGCCCTCTGTGTCTCTTTGTGTCCTCCCAATCCCTCTAGGTGTCTCTCTCCCAAGCCCTTGTCTGTCTCTTTTGCCCCTTCCACAGCCCCTCTGTGTCTCTTTGTGTCCTTCCAGCCACTCTAGGTGTCTCTCTCCCAAGCCCTGGTCTGTCTCTTTTGCCGCTTCCATAGCCCCTTTGTGCAGTGATAATTTTGGCAGCAAATTTCAATTTAGTTTTAGTCACAGTCTTTTGACTAAAAAGCCATTTTAGTTTTAGTCATGTTTTAGTTTTAGTCGACTAAATGTTAAATTTTACTAAAATTGTAAGTCGACAAAATTAACACTGACCCTAAACAATGGTGTGAGTTGTAAATAGCCAATCTCCATACGGGCTGCCACTAGTAAGAATCAGGTGCACCACAAACAGCCTACCTGAACACCACCCTGCGTTCCTCTGTTCTCTCTCATGTGGGCTTCTGGGCCAGATATCAGGACTCACATTGCAGGACTCTGTCTGGCCCCAGCCGGCATTCTAAGCTAAGCTGAAGTACTCTCTACACCTGGCAAGATGTCCCAACCACACATCCACCGTTCCTACAAATTCAGAAGGAACTTTATTTCTGTCTTCTTCTTTTCTTCTATGAAGGACTCACAGTTTTCTTATCCTCAGTTTTCTTATCCTCAGTCAATCGTGCATACAATCATCATTTGTTTCCATCTATTAATACATCACATACACTGTGCTTTTTATTGTTATTTTTTTTTAAAGGAAAATTAAGGCTGTTTTTCCCTGGAGTTTATTTTACTTTAGTGTAATTGTTTGTTCATGTGCCATAACTCTTGATTCGATTGTATGTCATGTTTTACTCAAATGCTTTGAAAAAATTAAAGATTGACAAAAAAAAACAAAAAAACCCTCCAGAATAAAGCATCTGCCTCGGCCTGGTAAGTATATGAATATATGAATTTAATTTCAAGATTCTAAACATTCACTACACATTTATAATTTACCAATATAACTAAAAACACAAATAGATGGTTAAACGGAAATAAATAGCAGCGTCCCTTGTTACCATTAGTAATCAACAAGGATCGGAAAGAAAAAAACACCATAGAACCTGTTGTAGTTATGGTGCAAGGAGGCTTGACACAAACCAAAGGACCTATAACATGCCCAGTCATCCAAATATTGATGGAATGGCCAACGGGGAGAGTGGTAGCTGGCAATGTTCATAGATGCCCCCTGACTTTTGGTTTTTCCTCATTCAATTCAATGTTTTTAAACCCAGATTCAATGGGAGGGCACGCCTTATTCAACACCATAAACAGATACAGATACAGAACAACGGCAACAACAACAGAGGCCTAATCCACCCACTGTTATTACCCAATGACAGCTCTAGAACACAGGGCAACATGCAGGCATACCTATTAGGCATCCAGGATCTCAGGGCCCAAAGCAAAGCCAATGGGTGATGTCAGAGATCCTGTTCGAGTATGCTAAGCATGTTTATAGTGCCTTTCAGCATCATCTCCAGCCATCAAACTGCAGAACTAACCATAACAAACACATCACATTCTCTTTTAACACACTTGTACGTACTTATCACACCAATACATTTTATAATTTCTTTTTTTAATATTGACATCAAATTTGGGAATAGGGGCAATGCCCCAACTTGCCGCTGTGGACCAGCCTCCGCTGGACTTGAAACGTCTACATTTGCAATTACGATAAGCAGGGACCCGCAGCCTAATAGCACTATAACCACTAGATCAGCCTGCAGTGATTATGGTGCTTAGACTGCCCCTTATCACTGTGCAGGTAAATGAATACAGAAGATGCCACATTAATATTTTAGCAGACAATATATAAAATATAAAGCATGCAGCCCTTGGCAGCAGAGATATATCCCCCAGCTGGAGAGAACACACGGAGCAGGTAAAGTGGGAGATTTGCAGACAACTGATTACGAAAAAGACAAAAAAAGACTTTTGCCAAATTTCTGTACATTACAAAGAGACGTATATAAACAATATTATCAGTTCCAGATTGCTCAGGAGTAAATCCAAACAAATGCAAAAGATCATTAGTACAGAAACAGATGTTTTTTAAGGCTCCTACACATCACATGGGGACATACATAAACATTGATATCGGTAACAGCGATACATCTCCTTACACGCGTTACTGGTGGAGCCGGCACAATTGGGGGAGTCAAGCGTTCTTAAAACTTTTAGAGGAAACAAACAGAGTAGATTAACAAGGATTGAAACATAAGTATTATGCAAAGAACTGTAACAGCCGGAAATTAGGAGAATCACAATGAGGGAATGCATTTATTAATTTAAAGGAACACTATAGTGTCAGGAATACAAACAAACTATTTAGGTACCCGGCCCTGCTTAGATCGCACTGGAAAGATATTAAACTTACCTTTTTTACCACATCGCACCAGTCTTGCTGTGGCTGGCCCCGCCTCCAAGACTAAGATCATCAATCTTGATGATCTCAGCCAATCCTACAGGAAAGCATTGGAAAGTTATTGTGCATCAAAAGGCATTGCCAACCAACATCTCCACATAGAGATTCATTGAATCAGTGCATCTCTATGGGCAGTGTTCAGTGCTTCAATGCAGAGCATGGAGATGCTGAACGTCAGTGCTGCACACTGCAACACTGAGCTAGGAAGCACCTCTGGTGGCCGTGTAAGTGACTGCCACTAGAGGTGTTACTAGGCAGCAATATAAACACTGCCTTTTCTCTGAAAAGGCAGTGTTTACATTGAACAGCCTGCAGGGACAGGCTTTAGACACCAGAACCACTACATTAAGCTGTAGTGGTTTTGGTGACTATATTGTCCCTTTAAACTTATCAAATCTCTGTTTTTTAGACCCAATCTCTATGTGCCTGGTGCCTTTCTTTACACATAGTTCAATATGTTTGGTGTGTATGAATATATCACAGAGCTCCACTGCTCTGAACTGTGCTTTGTGTGTGAATATTTCACAGAGCTCCACAACAATGAGGCTCAGGGAAGGACTGACAATGGCCTGGGCTCCCGGACAAAATTAGGACTTGGACCCCCTGCAGACCAGCATTCATGCTGGTGTAGATGTACTGTGTATTTGATTTGAGTGAGTGGATGTATGTTTGTGTGTATATTCACTGTGAGTGCTAGTGTAAGTGAATATATGTATTTATTTGTGTGTAGTGTCTAGTTGTGTGGATTCAGAATATATTTAAATAAAAAAATTTTTTTAGTAGGGTAGTATTTTTATGTGTTTTTTGTGTAACAGGGCAGTATGTATAAGAGGGTATGTGTGAATCGTGGCAGTGTGTTTGTATGAGGTATGCAGGCCTCTAAATATTGCGTCTTAAATTATGAACAACGTGTTAAATGTTACAAGCCACTCTAAGAAACATTATAGACACTATAGGTTAAAATTAGGCCCCTCCTCCAGCCTGTTAAAAAGGTAAGTTACTCACCTTTTTTCCAGCGCCACCTGGGTCTCCTTGTGGCTGTTCCCCTCACTCCGCCTCCTTAATGAGATCATCAAATTAGATGATCTCAGCCAATCCAATGCTTTCCAATAGGAAAGCATTGGATGGCTATTGCACATGCACATCAAAACGCCGTACTGCGCCAATCAGCATCTCCTCATGGCGATACATTGATTTAATCTCTTAATTAATTTCTATGAGGATAGTTCAGTGTCTCCGTGCAGAGCGTGGAGACGCTGAACGTCAGTGCTGGACCCAGAAAGCACCTCTAGTGGCTGTCTGAGTGACTGCCACTGGAGGTGTTCCTAGGCAACAACGTAATTACTGCGCAGTGTTTACATTAAAAAGCCTGCAGGGACAGGCAGTAGACAAAAGAACACTTACATTAACCCCTTAAGGAGTGAGCCAAATGTACACGTTGTGATCAAAACAAAACGTAAACAAAAACTTGCGCTATATGTCTGTTCAGGTGTAATTCACCTCTTTCATAGTAAATGCACCCACCCTTATTATATATCATTTTATTCAGGGGAAACAGGGCTTTCATTTAACATCAAATATTTAGCTATGAAACATAATTTAATATGAATAAAATATAAACAAAATGGGAGAAAATAAGAAATGTTGTTATTTTTTTTAGTTCTACGTGACATTTTAACTGTGAATATCATAATACTGTTTGCTTTTTACTGCAATAAAATACACATATTTGTATTCAGCGATGTCTCATGTGTAAAACAGTACCCCCTATGTACAGGTTTTATGGTATTGTAGGAAGTTACAGGGTCAAATATAGCATGTTACATTTTTCAGTTTTTCACATTGAAATTCACCAGATTGGTTACGTTGCCTTTGAGACTGTATGGTAGCCGAGGAATGAGAATTACCCCCATGATGGCATACCATTTGCAAATGTAGACAACCCAAGGTATTGCAAATGGAGTATGTCCAGTCTTTTTTAGTAGCCACTTGGTCACAAACACTGGCCAAATTTAGTGTTATTATTTGTTTGTGTGTGAAAAATGCAAAAAACTAATTTGAACGAATTGTTTCAGATGACTTAAAGGTAGGCAGACTGTAATAGCGCAACAGGAAATGCTAGCAGAATGCTTGGTTGTATAGGGAGAGGTATTAGCAGTAGAAAGAAGGAAGTGCTCATGCCATTGTACAGAACACTGGTGAGACCTCACTTGGAGTATTGTACGCAGTACTGGAGACCGTATCTTCAGAAGGATATTCATACTTTAGAGAGAGTTCAGAGAAGGGCTACTAAACTGGTTCATGGATTGCAGGATAAAACTTACCAGGAAAGGTTAAAGGAACTTAACATGTATAGCTTGGAGAAAAGACGAGATGGGGGGATATGATAGAAACATTTAAATACATAAAGGGAATCAACACAGTAAAGGAGGAGACTATATTTATTTATTTTTTATTTATTTATTTGATTGTCATACAAAATACATTAAAAAAAATATTTTATACAAAATGGTCAAAGACGATAAAGAATTAACAAAACATGATACAAACAATGAATCAGTCAGTCAGAGCAGGAAAACATTATACTAATTATACCTTAATACAGTTTTGCCAATTTTAGTTTAAACCAAAAGGAGGAGACTATATTTAAAAGAAGAAAAACTACCACAACAAGAGGACATAGTCTTAAATTAGAGGGACAAAGGTTTAAAAATAATATCAGAAAGTATTACTTTACTGAGAGGGTAGTGCATGCATGGAATAGCCTTCCAGCTGAAGTGGTAGAGGTTAACACAGTAAAGGAGTTTAAGCATGCATGGGATAGACATAAGGCTGTCCTAGCTATAAGATAAGGCCAGGGACTAATGAAAGTATTTAGAAAATTGGGCAGACTAGATGGGCCGAATGGTTCTTATCTGCCGTCACATTCTATGTTTCTATGTTTCCTCTGGGCTTAGTATTCTTTTTTTGGCTCTTGTGGGGTAAGGGGTATGTGCAAATGTGTTTGGATGAGTGCGGATCTCTAAAAAAATTTCTTCTGAGTGTTGGATACCATCCCTCTGGAGGACTCCCATCACATATCCTTTAAAGAAGGGATTATACCGTTGCATGCCCTTCACACCAGAGCTGGCTATAGCTCTTTTAAATGTGAGTTGATTGCACATATTTGTTTATTTTATCCATATTGGCTTTTATATACTGCACCATTGGGTCTCCTCGTTTTTGTCTTGCATATAAGCGGAACAGTTGGACCACTAGGGACATTGAGGACTCTACACCCCAAAACAGGCACCTTATAAAGCTACTTACTTCTGAGTGAGACCTCAATATTATCGGACTTTACCTTCAGTTACTCCATCAGAACTTTAGTCCCACCACATCAGTGAGACCAACTGCGTTATATTGCCCTACCTATTCAGACGAACTATTGTACGTTTTAACTATTGGCACAGCCATTTCCCTGTATTTCTTTGTGTTTCATGTTCTCTCCTCAGAGGGTTTTAGGGTTACCTTCTGTTGGGCCGCTGCCTACCTTACTTCAATTTTATTAGCGCTGACCCTTTTAATTTTATTTCTACCACTTGTATCGGTTAGCCTGAATGAGAGAATTATATTTTTACTGAGAAATGTCTGTATACCGTATGGTACATGGTATGCACTCTACACAGAACTCCACCCTGAGCTGCACATTGTGTCTATCAGACTATATGTGTCACATTGTTATTTGCACTATTTCCCATTAATCTGTTATTGCTGCTGTTTGAGACCAAACACATTTAGTTATTATATCAGCAGAAGTTGTCACTGTGCACTTTTGTTTTTATATTTTGATATGATTAACCCCTTAATGACCAAACTTCTGGAATAAAAGGGAATCATGACATGTCACACATGTCATGTGTCCTTAAGGGGTTAAACACACTATCTAGTTTAATAACTTAATTAAAAAAAGACATAAAAGATATAAAGAAGAACATTCTAGCGCCACCAAATAGACACGATCCCTTGTTTGTATGTTTTAGCACTGTGTAAATACAGTTGGAATGTGTGCAGTGTGGCAATGCTGATTAATTTGTGTATAGTGTGTGTGATTCTGTATGTATTCTGTACTCGTTGTTCTCCACATTCCCCCACTTCTGTATCACTCCCATACCCCACTAGACTCTGCCATTACCGTCTTTCCCTTACTAGTATCTCCCAATCTACACCAATAAGATGTGACCCTCTCCCACATGGCACCCACCCAGCCGTGAGTTGTCTGTAGACGCCCTATATATATTGCCACTTACAACAAAGTAAACTACTGACATTGCTTCCCTTTGGGAAAGTATTAGGTTGTAAATTTCCATTATAAATGGTAAACATACAATATACAGTACAGCAATGCTATAATCTCCCCACCTTGTCTTCCACCACAGCACAAACTAACAAACTCACTGATTATAACTTATGGCTGCCTGGATAAGCTATAGAGAGTAACTGGGCATGTGCAGGTCTTAGATCATTTGTTAAAACCATCCAGTCTAAAAGCACCTCAGACATGCTCAGTTTGCCTCTACTAGTGATTTATAAAATACCCCATTTCATTTCCAGTAGGGCGTTTGTGCAAGACGACTTGTGAATAACAGTTTGAAAGTCTTACAATTTCAAGCTAAATCACTAATAGAAAAAGTAGCCTAGAATAGAAATAGTGAAGTGAGCTTGTAAAATAAGGTTTACATTTTTCTTGTCTCCTCGTTAATGGGTATGATCCAGGGGGCTCTGTGCATTGTGATCTATTCATTCTTTATTTTTACACAAGCGTAATGTAAATGCAATATGTGGAAATCATCTTAACAGAATTAGTGAATGTCCTTATTAAAATGTGGACAAAGTACATTCATTTCAATAATTTAAGATTCAGTGGAGTGAACATACAAGAGTGAGTAGGTTCACATATTACAGGGGGTACATTTGCATTCCTGGCACCATATCCACTACAGCGAACTATAGTGGTTATGGTGCTTGGAGTGTTCCTTTAAGTCATATTCATCCCCTTAACTCACACTTCAGTAGAAGGTACAGAGCTCCATAGAGAGATAGGACAGAGTAGCAAATAGAGCCTCTGCCTCGATCCCACTCAGACTGTGGCCAGTGGAACCAGGAGGGAGTTGTCCTGATTATAACCAGCTATGGCGCATCTATTTTTAAGTCCTTTGTGCATTGCCAGAGAATAGGAAAGCTGTGAATGGTAACACTAGTTACAGCAAGGCACTGGATAAGCAAGTTAGCACTGCTCATCTTTATCATTTCTGGAATTGCAAGCCTGCGACTTGTAAGCAATTTCCTCTTAAATGGTTTATCCAAGCACCATGACCACTTCAGTGATTTGAAGTGGTCATGGTGCTTGGAGTCTGTGTATGCAGAATTTCACTATGAAACACAGTAGATAAAGAGATATAGTGCTTTGCTGCTAAGCCGTAACTCCACCATCAGCAGCATCATTAGGGCGTTAGTAGCCAGAGCACCGGGCCGGCTAATGTCATTTCTGGGCATGTTCGAGATCTATCATCAGTACACACAGCATGCTGGAGACAGACAACAAATGGCAGCACAGACTCCTCTCCTCTCAGCCAGTGACACCACCAGAAGAGACTCGGACAGCCAAGAGAAAGGCGCTGGGACACAGGAATATTTTATTTGGTGGGCGATGGATCAGGATAGTAGGGGGAAATAACGTGTTTTATTAAAAGATACATTGATACAAGGAACATTGTTGCAGACACTAAGAAAATACTAAAGCATAAAATGAAACAGTGATCTTTTACCCACGTTTTATTGCATTTTATTTGTATTTATTATTTATTTTATGTGGTCCTGCCTATGCTTCTACTTAATTTCCATGTATCATTTCAATTGAAGAAATATGTGCCTGTACGATTTGAGAATTTCCCCTACATTAGGTACATGTTAGCTAAACTTGGCCAATTAATACTGGGGTGACGTGTTTCGGGTTTTTGGTTTTTTTTTTTTCCCAAATAAATTTGCATTGAATTCTGCTGCCACCTTCAGGCCAATAAAACTATTGCACTTTTTTTTTTTACGATCATTTTTAGGTGTATAATATAATGTGTGAACAGCAGTGCTAAAACTAATGTATATTATATTTATATATAGCTAACAGGTGTACTCAGCACTTTACAGGTTATGTTACAGTAGAGGGAGGTACAGTAAGTGCAGTAGGTATACAGTGTATGTATATTATATTTATATAGCGCTAAAAGGTGTACTCAACACTTTACAGGTGACATTACAGTAGAGGGAGGTACAGTAAGTGCTGTAGGTATACAGTGTATGTATATTATATTTATATAGCCCTAACAGGTGTACTCAGCACTTTACAGGTTACATTACAGTAGAGGGGGGTACAGTAAGTGCAGTAGGTATACAGTGTATGTATATTATATTTATATATAGCTATCAGGTGTACTCAGCACTTTACAGGTTATGTTACAGTAGAGGGAGGTACAGTAAGTGCAGTAGGTATACAGTGTATGTATATTATATTTATATAGCGCTAACAGGTGTACTCAGCACTTTACAGGTTACATTACAGTAGAGGGAGGGACAGTAAGTGCAGTAGGTATACAGTGTATGTATATTATATTTATATATAGCTAACAGGTGTACTCAGCACTTTACAGGTTATGCTACAGTAGAGGGAGGTACAGTAAGTACAGTAGGTATACAGTGTATGTATATTATATTTATATAGCTATAACAGGTGTACTCAGCACTTTACAGGTTACATTACAGTAGAGATAGGTACAGTAAGTGCAGTAGGTGTACAGTGTATGTATATTTTATTTACATAGCACTAACAGGTGTACTCAGCACTTTACAGGCTACATTACAGTAGAGGGAGGGACAGTAAGTGCAGTAGGTATACAGTGTATGTATATTATATTTATATATAGCTATCAGGTGTACTCAGCACTTTACAGGTTATGTTACAGTAGAGGGAGGGACAGTAAGTGCAGTAGGTATACAGTGTATGTATATTATATTTATATATAGCTATCAGGTGTACTCAGCACTTTACAGGTTATGTTACAGTAGAGGGAGGGACAGTAAGTGCAGTAGGTATACAGTGTATGTATGTATTATTTATATAGCACTAACAGGCGTACTCAGCATTTTACAGGTTATGTTACAGTAGAGGGAGGTACAGTGCAGTAGGTATACAGTGTATGTATATTATATTTATATATAGCTAACAGGTGTACTCAGCACTTTACAGGTTATGCTACAGTAGAGGGAGGTACAGTAAGTACAGTAGGTATACAGTGTATGTATATTATATTTATATAGCTATAACAGGTGTACTCAGCACTTTACAGGTTACATTACAGTAGAGGTAGGTACAGTAAGTGCAGTAGGTGTACAGTGTATGTATATTTTATTTACATAGCACTAACAGGTGTACTCAGCACTTTACAGGCTACATTACAGTAGAGGGAGGTACAGTAAGTGCAGTAGGTATACAGTGTGTGTATATTATATTTATATATAGCTATCAGGTGTACTCAGCACTTTACAGGTTATGTTACAGTAGAGGGAGGTACAGTAAGTGCAGTAGGTATACAGTGTATGTATATTATATTTATATAGCGCTAACAGGTGTACTCAGCACTTTACAGGTTACATTACAGTAGAGGGAGGGACAGTAAGTGCAGTAGGTATACAGTGTATGTATATTATATTTATATATAGCTAACAGGTGTACTCAGCACTTTACAGGTTATGCTACAGTAGAGGGAGGTACAGTAAGTACAGTAGGTATACAGTGTATGTATATTATATTTATATAGCTATAACAGGTGTACTCAGCACTTTACAGGTTACATTACAGTAGAGGGAGGGACAGTAAGTGCAGTAGGTGTACAGTGTATGTATATTTTATTTATATAGCGCTAACAGGTGTACTCAGCACTTTACAGGTTACATTACAGTAGAGGGAGGTACAGTAAGTGCAGTAGGTATACAGTGTATGTATATTTTATTTATATAGCGCTAACAGGTGTACTCAGCACTTTACAGGTTACATTACAGTAGAGGGAGGTACAGTAAGTGCAGTAGGTATACAGTGTATGTATATTTTATTTATATAGCACTAACAGGTGTACTCAGCACTTTACAGGTTACATTACAGTAGAGGGAGGTACAGTAAGTGCAGTAGGTATACAGTGTATGTATATTTTATTTATATAGCACTAACAGGTGTACTCAGCACTTTACAGGTTACATTACAGTAGAGGTAGGTACAGTAAGTGCAGTAGGTGTACAGTGTATGTATATTTTATTTACATAGCACTAACAGGTGTACTCAGCACTTTACAGGCTACATTACAGTAGAGGGAGGTACAGTAGGTACAGTAGGTATACAGTGTATGTATATTTTAATTGTATAGCACTAACAGGTGTACTCAGCACTTTAAAGGTTACATTACAGTAGAGGGGGGTACAGTAAGTGCAGTAGGTGAGATTTAACATTTGTCAGATAATCAATGGCGTTAAACCTCATACAAGGAAGGAATTAAAAGGTGGAAATCAGCAGGCGAAATATCATTGTAACTAAGTGTAGCTATGCTACCAGCATGCTAAGTACATAACAACCTGGTTACTTAAACAGTCTACCCACAATAAAAGCAGTTAATGCAGATCTGCACATATGTCTATTTTCCTGTTTGTATAGAAACCAAAGACTGTGTTTAACACTTTACTGTATTTATTTTTAACAAGAAGGGCTGGTTGTATGTAAAGCTGTGAGAAGCCATGATGGATAAGAAGGCATTGCTATCTTCATTGATAAAAAAATGAAGCAGTTACCATGGAGACACCAAATTAAAAGAGTGGGATGAGGTGGGACGATGTGTTGGTTTGGTCACAGAATATTCCAACTGTCTGTTCGAGAGAGAGAGTGTGTATCTTTATGCAAAAATATATACAGTGACAATAACAACCTCCAAACAAACTATCAAATAGGGTGAAAACAAAATGATTGACTTTGTTGTCATGTATTATATCTGCTGTTACTTACGGTACCTATGTGTAAGTAAATACATCGGTTTTTGCACATTATCTTACGCTTGTTTTATACTTTGCACTTTATCTCCTTTGATTACATGGTATATGGAACCGGAATTGAAAATAAAGACAAGAATATTGGAGGACATTTTTATGAAAACATTATTTTGAAGGTTCAATTGTGAATTGCACAGTGTGACTGACAAATTGGAAATTATGTATAAAATGGTATTTGTATACAGTGTTACACTATGTTGTGCCTCTTCTGTTTCCCTTAGCAGAATGACACATTCTATTGGTGTATCATTGTGTGTCAGTGTATATGTGTATCGTTGTCAGTATCTCTGTATGCGGCAGTATGTACATATGTCCATACATCCCTGCATGTAAACGCCACCACTATACACAAACACTAAACTTCATTCAAACACCAACACCACATACACACACTACACTACAAACACTACGCACAAACATCTCCGGCATTCAAACGTCAAGCCCACTCACAAACACCCTGTGTTTAAACGTCAGCCTCACGTACAAACACCCCTGCATTCGAAGTCAATACCACACACAAACACCCCTGCATTCAAACATTAACACCATGTACAATCACCATGTGTTCTAATGTCAACATCACGCGTTCAAACGCCAGTAATACACACAAAGGTACACCTGCATTCAAATGCAAACACTATATACCAACACATCCTTGCATTAAAGTCATTTGTTACATGTGAGTTTACAGAGGAAGAGGTTCTATTTCAACTTTCAAAAGTTAAGACAAATAAGTCAATGGGGCCTGATGGAATACACCCAAATTAAAAGAGCTTAGTGGTGTACTAGCAAAACCATTAACAGATTTATTTAACCAATCATTGTTAACAGGAGTAGTCCCAGAAGATTGGAAGTTAGCGAATGTTGTACCCATTCACAATAAAGGTAGTAGGGAGGGGTCGGGCAACTATAGGCCAGTAAGCCTTACTTCAGTAGTGGGGAAAGTGATGGAAACCATGTTAAAGGATAGAATTGCTGAACATCTAAAAACACATGGATTTCAAGATTAGAGACAAAATGGGCTTACTTCAGGGAGATCATGCCAAACTAATCTTATTGATTTTTATGATTGGGTAACTAAAATAATAGATCAGGGAGATGCAGTAGACATTGCCTACCTAGATTTCAGTAAGGCTTTTGACACTGTTACACATAGAAGGCTTATTAATAAATTGCAATCTTTAAGTTTGGATTCCAATATTGTTGAATGGGTAAGGCAATGGCTGAGTTACAGGCAACAGAGGGTTGTAGTCAATAGAGTATATCCAAAGCATGGGCTTGTCATCAGTGGGGTACCTCAGGGATTTGTACTTGGACCCATTCTCTTTAATATTGTTTATTAGTGATATTGCAGAAGGTCTTGATGGTAAGGTATGTCTTTTTGCTGATGATACTAAGATATGTAACAGGGTTGATGTTCCAGGAGAGATAAGCCAAATGGCAAATGAGTTAGGTAAACTAGAAAAATGGTCAGAGTTGTGGAAACTGACATTTAATGTGGATAAGTGCAAGATAATGCATCTTGGACATAAAAACCCAAGGGCAGAGTACAGAATATTTGATAGAGTCCTAACCTCAACATCTGAGGAAAGGGATTTACGGGTGATTATTTCGGATGACTTAAAGGTAGGCAGACAATGTAATAGAGCAGCAGGAAATGTTAGCAGAATGCTTGGTTGTATAGAGAGAGGTATTAGCAGTAGAAAGAGGGAAGTGCTCATGCCATTGTACAGAACACTGGTGAGACCTCACTTGGAATATTGTACGCAGTACTGGAGGCCGTATCTCCAGAAGGATATTGATACTTTAGAGAGAATTCAGAGAAGGGCTACAAACTGGTTCATGGATTGCAGGATATAATTTACAAGGAAAGGTTAAAGGATATTAACATGTATAGCTTGGAGGAAAGACGAGACAGGGGGGATATGATAGAAACATTTAAATACATAAAGGGAATCAACACAGTAAAGGAGGAGACCATATTTAAAAGAAGAAAAACTACCACAACAAGAGGACATAGTCTTAAATTAGAGGGGAAAAGATTTAAAAAGAATATTAGGAAGTATTACTTTACAGAGAGGGTAGTGGATGCATGGAATAGCCTTCCAGCTGAAGTGGTAAAGGTTAACACAGTAAAGGAGTTTAAGCATGTGTGGGATAGGCATAAGGCTATCCTAACTATAAGATAAGGCCATGGAATAATAAACGTATTTAAAAAAAATTGGGCAGACTAGATGGGCCGAATGGTTCTTATCTGCCATCACATTCTATGTTTCTATGTTAATAGCTCGTTATTGTGTATTCTGATTCTGGTATCCGATTCTGTACTCCTTTGACCTTGGCCAGTATACCATTTATCAATGTTTCTCCTATCTTTGACCTCAGCTATTTTCTCTGACTCTGTCCACCGTTAGTCTGTCCATTCTAAGTGCCGGTACATGGCAGGTCACTCGTTTGGTGTCTTCTGCGTCTGGGTGTTTAGGTTCCTACACTATTCTGACACCCTGCTTGAATATAACTCCTCGGCGATAGAATCCTGTTTAATCTAGACTATGTTTTATGTGATGTAATGGAATAACAGGAATCATGTGAAATAAGAAATAAATAAATATTTAAAGTCAATAAATAAAAGCCAAATGAAAAGATACAGCCGGTAGTAAAGTCCACATGAATACATTTCACTCAAATGGCTACGAGACGCTTACACTTTGTGGCTTGTTTTTTACACAATAAACCCCCAGGTGTGCACACGTCATTGTATAGAGTGATACTGACATGTGCTATATGCAGGACAAGAAAACAGCATTGCAGGCAGCTTCAGTCATTTTATATCCGGATATGGAACAGAAAAAATACAAAATGAAAGAGGCAGAAATGTTCTCGTTTTGATAAACTAAACAATAAAGGGCAGGGACCAGGGATAGGTAAACAACGAGGAAATTATCCAGGCCCACAAAAGCCAAAGGCTGCATTAAAAAAAAGACTTAACAAATATTATTTCTGGAAGTGGTTTGTCTGATTTGTATCAGGAACAGAAAATGGATGCACAGGACTCTGAACGCGCAGTCAGCAAAACAAACACACAAAGTGCTTGAGTCAGCACAAGGAACCTTCCCCAGGAGGGCAAGCCGATCCTATATTAAGATAGGCTGGGGGTGGGCGTTAACCTTTTGCTTGACTACATTCAAAGGGTTAACTTTTTTTTACCGTACAACAAACATTATGCGCACACTGAACCCATTGAGGTATTTGGCCATGCTGAGAAAGGTCTTTTCTCAAACTGGAAGGGAACAAAGCTGTTTTGCAGCTTTATCCCGGTTGTAGGGTTGTATTATCCAATCCTGGGTTATAGCAGACATTTTATTGTAACATTTTAGTGATCCACTTTCTATGATAACTGCATTTAGCAATTAAAAAAATGATAACATAAATAAAAATCCTATAGGGGTCAATAAAACCCCCATATTACCGTGAGGGAGCTTTCGAACCTCCCTACTAATATGTTAAAACTAGCGACTGGGCAGCCATTGAGGATGGGGCCTGTGAAATAACTGGGGGGCGACTAGTCCCCCACTCTCATGCCCCAACCCGTGGGCACCGGATAAGTGACTTTTAAATCAGTAATAAGGGATGGACAGGTTAGTGTCCACTCCCCTGTCCTTACCCTAACCGTGATCAGCATGTAGGGGTTATTACAATATTGACGGGAGAGGACCTAGTGTTCCCTCCTTACCCCACAGGTGCAGAACTTAATAATAATTGGTGGGGGGACTTCAGTCCGTGGGGTGGGGCCATGCAGTGATTGCTGAGTTCAATCTGAGGGGGGCAGACCATGCAGAGATTGCTAAATTAAGTCTGAGGGGGCAGCAACATGCAGAGATTTCTGAGTTCAGTCCGTGGGGTGGGGCCATGCAGAGATTGCTAAGTTAAGTCTGAGGGGGCAGGAACATGCAGAGATTTCTGAGTTCATTCTGAAGGCCCCCACACCATGCAGTCATTGCTGAGTTCAGTCTAAGGGGGCCGGACAATGCAGAGATTGCTAAATTCAGTCTGAGGGGCCAGGACCATGCAGAGATTGCTAAATTCAGTCTGAGCAGGTGAGGCCATGCACCACTCGCTATTTCCAGTCTGAGTGCGTGGTGCCAAGCCGAGATCAGGCATCCTCAGACAGAACACATCAATCACAAAATACAGTCAGAAAAAATTCCCGCATTTACATTATTGGTATTTTTGTAATACTGGAACAAGGCAGACAACCTTGCTAGCAATATTTAAGGTGGGTGGCCAATTTAACTACACACTCACGTGAAATATTTATTTTATATTTAAACAGGTGGGTCGAACAATTAAAATTCCTTTTAATTTGCACCCTAATTAATCAATTAATCCGGGATTTATCCAGAGAGTCTTATTTATTGAATAAAACTCCACAGGTAAATCGTGAATGGATGGATTAGTTCTGACATAGATTAAAAGGAATTTGATTTGTTTGCATCTGAAACACGTTTGAGCACAAGTCTACTCTAGACTTGGTCTGAGTGTAGGTTAAATGGTTCATATTCAACGAATATATGACTTGTTTTTCATTTTGGAGGGGCGGGGGTGATTTAGAGGTAGAAGCTATCATTAATATGTGACACCTAAACTTAGTCAATGTTTTATCCTGCATGTAGTGCCATATAGCCGGGGATCCATCAGCACATGTTTTGACAGCACTGTTGAGATTGTAGAGGAAATGCACAACCGACTGTTTCATCCATCTGTGCAGAATGAGTAAGATGCTAGTGATGTGGGATGTTGCATTAATCGTGTTTGAGTTCCATCTTATCCAACAGTTCTGTGTCTCAAAAGCCTCTAAACCAAGACTGAGCATCTTCTAAATTAATTCATGTTAAACCGTGCTCCTCTAAACTGGGAGCACTGCGAGCCACTGACTAACTACTACTAGTAAAACTTAATTGTTCTACATCTGTAGGTACCATCTGGCAGACCGTGGGATCCTGATAACATCACGCCATTCGTCCTGAGATCCGGAGTGTCCATGCAACCAGACACCTGACTGCAGTGGGCAACAAGTATGGTCCTGCATGGATCCTTACCACACTCACAGTCGACTAGCAAATACTGTTTATAATATTGTTCAGTTTAAATGCCTTGTTTCTGGTTTTCTGTTGACTTTTGCCTCTGCTTTTCATCACTTGACAGGGCCTTCCCTATACGTTTAATATGTATGAAGCCTTACATAGAGGCCACCCAGGCTACTGCCTGAGACGTGTTCGGGAGTTACGCTCCCTAAAAAGATCTCCACTTCTGGATGAGATGTCACTCCCACTACACCCTTGTTAAGGGATTTCAAACAATGCATCGGCGTTCTAGCTACGCATTTCCAATGGTGCCAGATGTAATACTGCTCCAACAGCTCAATTGCTCCTCGCGGCACACTCGACGGTAGGCCATTTCACGCCATGCATTCAATACTCATGAAAGAGTAAGCCTGAAACATAACTTACACTCGCTATCAGCACAACCCATAGGCTTAGCATGCAACAGACTTACCGGTTCTTGGTGATACTACCACTACTTTTAAATCCCAGTGCTGTAGTATTACGTGTGCTTTCCGTACACTGACAACCAGTTACCTAGTGGTCAATATCTACCTCTCAGATCCAACCACACAACGTCCGTACTCATCTTCTTAAAACAAAATGTGCAGATGAATGTCTTGCATTGTTATTGTTTCTTGTGAACTGGCCGTCTTTGCTACAGTGGCATTATCGGTTTGTATGTACTAATGGTGCACGACAAAATAAATAATTTTTTAATTTTTTTAAATAAAGAATTTTAAATGATGGCAAGTCTCCAGATTGAGATACATAATTTTTTAGTCATAACAGCTAAGTGTGTAATCCAGCTAAATAATGATATCAGTCACGGGTTAAAAGAATACTATTCTGATAGAATATAACAGGCATTGCGGTTCGAGTCAGAGAAAGAGGCACCTTACCCCCTACATAGATATAATGAGTAATACGGGTGAATGAACACCAGATTGCAATGTTTGTGCACAGTTAAGCAGAGAAGATGAATGATGGTTCTTACATTTCAAACCAATGTGGATCGCATAGTTAGCCTGGTACAAATATACAGTAAACATTCTAATAAATAAATAAAAACCAGGAAAGGGTAAATAAGTATATTCCACTATTGGCCGGCAAGAAATTATATTTAGAAAGTCCAGTTGATAATTACCATTGATAGAGAATTGAATGATTAAAAATGCGATAGGTGATGGTGATAATGTCCCTTTTACTAGAGAGAGTATCTGCACATTTGGATACTTAACTGACTGATGGCCAACGGGTTTAAACTACATGTATGTGATTTGGCAGGGATAGACCAGCACCATGAAGACAACCAGTTATTACAGACATTGCTGTCTTTTTCAGATTTCCCTTCGTTATCCTTGCATCTTAATGATTATAGTCCCCTCTTTGCCACTTGCATTATTTTTATTATATTTTTCATCATTACGCCAGATCTTCTCCTCTGTCCTTGAAATCTGCAGTTAGGGATTATTCTAGTTTAGTTACCGAATAATCTAAAGTTTATTAAAGACAGGAGGTGAATATTCAGCTTAATCCTCCTATACTGAATCCTCTCAGCAGCAAAGAAAAGGTTAACAGTGTGTATAAAAATCAACCAATCAGAATGTAGCAACAGTAAGATGTAGTGCACTCAGGCTGATCCCAATCCATCTTTCTTGATGTAGTCGAGCGACTGTAGAGTCAACCATGTAAACGAAACAGTTCATATGTAAGGAGAAGAACCGCAGAACAGAAAGACAATCGTTGGCAATCTAACTAATATAAGAACATGGATACTATGAGCTAAATAAACACCCAATAATGCATACGTAATACCAAATAGAAAACCAGTTAGGTAAAAAAAAATCACAGAACAGGGTGGGAAAATATTCACTTCTTGTCTTTAAAGACCACTATAGTCACCCAGACCACTTCAGCTGAATGAAGTGGTCTGGGTGTCAGGTCCCCCAGGTTTTAACCCTTCAGCTGCAAAGTATGTTTACATTGCAGGGTTAATCCAGCCTCTAGTGGCTGTCTTCCTGACAGCTGCTAGAGGCGCATCCCTGACGCTCAATGCGTAAATCGCATTGAGCATGCAGAACGTCCATAGGCAAGCAACAAAGACAGAGGTGCTGGGAGATGATGAGGGCTATAGAGAGATGCTGGGAGCTGCATTGAGGCTGCTGGGGGCCAGAGGGAGCACTGACAGTCTCCCTTCCGAATTCCCAGCAGCTTCCCTGGCACACAGGCTCCAGCTCTGCTTTGGGCACATAGGCTCCGCCCCCACACCTGAAAGCCCCACCCCCGCATGCAAGCTCTAACCCCACTGTTAAGCAGCAGACCATGCTGCAAGAGGAAGAGGCCAGAAAACGGCTACCTGACCTCCTAGCAACAGCCTCCAGTGCCAGGTAGGCTTAACAAATACTCATCCTTGTGTGTGCGTATGTGCATGTGTGTATGTCCCTGCTAATAAGAGAGCTTGCCTGTAGTGAGCTTGTGTGTGTCAGTGAGCTAACATTTAGTCCGCTTGTGTGCAGGGCCGTCATTCCGCATGGGCACGCTCATGGACGTATTAGCCGCGAGGCAAACAAGGCATTTGCTTAGGGCGTCATTTTCCGCCCCCAAATGCCCAGGGCAAATGCCTAGTTAGCCTCGCGGCTAACTGACCCGCTGGCCGGGCGGCTGGCGAGGGAGCACTACCTCTGAGCGGTCTGCTCAGCTCCCTCGCGCGCCGCAGAGTGAGGCTGGGAGCTGGGTTGATGACGTCATATTCCGGCTCCCAGCCTCACTCTACAGCGCGCGAGGGAGCTGAGCAGTCAGCTCAGAGGAAGTGCTCCCTCGCCAGCCGCCCGCCCAGCAGCCAGTGCCTCCCAGCCCGACCGGCAGCCACTGGACCACCAGGGAGAGAGATACCCCCCCCAGCACTCCCAAAGGTAAGGAGGCTGGAGGGGTTAAATAAAAAAAAAAGTTAATGTGAGTGATTGTGTGTGTGTGTGTGTGTGTTTTTGTGTCTGACTGTGTGTGTGTGTGTGTGTTTGTGTCCGACTGTGTGTGTGTGTTTGTGTCTGACTGTGTGTGTGTGTGTTTATGTCTGACTGTGTGTGCTTGTGTCTGACTGTGTTTGTGTCTGTGTTTGTGTCTGACTGTGTGTGTGTGTGTGTGTATTTAGAAGGTGGGGCGGGGGGGAAGGGTTGGGTGGGGGTGGCACGGGGGGAGGGGGGCGTCTGAGTTTTGTCCTGCCTAGGACAGCACAAAACCAGGATACACCACTGGGCACGCTGTGATGCCCATGTGCTTAGGCTGACAGAGGCGACCTGCTTTCTTGCTGTGGGCCCTCTCGAGAATGACCCAAAGGCCCTTCGTTAGTGACAAGGAGGGCAGGAGGACCTGGGAGGCAGATCGCTCCTCCCTTGAGCATGCTGTGCAAAGCGCTGCCATATGTTACCATGGCAACGCTCAGACACAGCATTCTGCTTGTGGCAGGAGTAAAGACCACCTGCAGCCAGAGGAGCTGCAGGCTATAGACAACTCACCACCACTGGACCACCATGGCACAGCACCCCTCACACACACAGCACCCCTGACACAAAACAACCCTCACACACACAGCAAGTCTGACGCACATACACAGCACCCCTGACACAAAACAAGCCTCTCACACACACAGCACCACACACACACACAAAGCATCCCTTAACACACTTAGCACCCCTCTCACACACAGCACCCTCTTCACACCATCCCTCACACACATTTAGCATCCCACACACACACACACAGCACCCTGTGCACACTGCACCCCTCACTGCAGTCTGGGTATATTCAGCAGCCTGTGTGTATATATTCAGAAGTCTGTGTGTGTAGAAAGAAGCCTGTGTGTATTCAGCAGTCTCTTTGTGTGTTCAGCAATTTGTATGTGTGTATAAAGCAGCCTGTGTGTATTCAGCAGGGGGGGTGTGTATTCAGCAGCCTGTGTGCTTTCAGCAGTCTGTGTATGTATTCAGCAGTATATGTGTACTCAGCAATCTGTCTGTGTGTATTCAGCAGTCTCCCTGTGTGTATTAAGCAGTGAGTGTGTATACTTGCCAGTCTGTGTGTATTCAGCAGTCTGTATGTATTCAAAAGCCTGTGGGTATTCAGTGTACTGTGTATATGTACTTAGCAGTGTGGGTGCATTAAGCAGTCTGTGTGTATTCCGGGACAGTCAGTGCTCTCTGTATAGTTCTGCTCTCTGTATAATACAGGTCTGTGTGTATAATACCCCGGGACAGCCAGATCTCCCTGTATCGGGCTGCTCACTGTATTATTTAGGTCTGTGTTTATAATATCCCAGGACAGTCAGTGCTCCCTGTATAGTGCTGCTCTCTGTATAATACAGATCTGTGTGTATATTAATCCAGGACAGTCTGTACTCCCTGTATAGTGCTGTTATCTGTATAATACAGGTCTGTGTATAATATCCCAGGACAGTCGGTGCTCCCTGTATAATACAGGTCTGTGTGTATAATATCCCAGGACAGTCAGTGCTCCCTGTATGGTGCTGCTCTCTGTATAACACAGGTCTGTGTGTATAATATCATGTGACAGTCAGTGCTCCCTGTATAGTGCTGCTTTCTGTATAATACAGGTCTGTGTGTGTATAATATCCTGTGACAGACAGTGCTCCCTGTATAGTGCTGCTCTCTGTATAATACAGGTCTGTGTGTATAGTATCCTGGGACAGTCAGTGCTCCCTGTATAGTGCTGCTCTCTGCATAATACAGGTCTGTGTGTATAGTATCCCAGGCCAGTCAGTGCTCTATGACAAGTAGGCAGAGATTGTGTGGGTTGAGCATAGTGGGCAGACCTTTGTGGCAGTGGGTGTGGTAAATTTTCAAGGTAATGATTGATAGCTGTGCTGCAAAGTGTCCCTAGAATTTTTTTCAAATGTTGGCAACTATGCAATGCTTTCCTATTGCAAAATAGCTGACTCTGGATGCCATCATGCAGAGCATGAGGATGTCCAGTGTCCGTTAACAGCCATGAAGGGCCTAAGGCAGACTTAGTGTAGCAACATGAAGTGGCCCGGGTGCCTACAGTGTCCTTTTAAGCAAAATTTGCCATATTGCGGGTTTCTTTTGACTGGTGGAGTGTGGGTAAGTCAGCATGGCAAATGAACTTGAACTTTGCTGAGACTCCACCCATTGCCAACATTCATGCTCCCCATGAGAAAAAGTAGTCTCTAGCCTTTCTTAACTTGAACTAAAAAATTTAAAAACAGTACAATTAATTTCAAAAACATAGAAACAGGGAAAAGCACAACATACGAAAAATATACATATTTTTAAAAGCAAAATCGGTATAGTGACAGAGCCACTTTAATGAGATGCAAGTTACTCCAATCTTCTGAATTTAGTCTTCAAACTCATGGATTCTATTGCTTTGCATGTAAGTTGCAATTTTAAAAAAATCTTTATGTCACATTCACTCCTCTGGACCTGAGAGGGTTAAGAGAAATATGAAGTTGAATAGAACTACTTGGTCAAAATCCTTGCTAATCTCCACATTATTATGGAGTACTGACATGTGCTTTACGTTTTTAAAATGATCAGATTTAAACAAAGTGGTTCAAGAAAAGCCATGGAACTCAAAGAATGTGTTGTGTAACAGAAACTTATCTGAAAATAAAGCCCATTAATGAATTCTGAAAAGGATTAAGCAGAGTTCTTTAATTGCAACAGTAAACATATGCCATAAGACCATTACATGCATATAATGAAAGAAGGGGAAGGTGAATCTTAAAGGTTTTTCTGGTTAACAATAAACTGCAGCGTTTGACAGGTAGAAAAAAAAAACGAAATAAAAAACTAATAAAACTTCAAGCATACTAACAAGGTACTAGGTTTTCTATGGTTTTCCTATAAAAAATTTAAATAAAAGATAAAACCATCAGTGACCGTTTTCTTCACATTTTGTAGAAGCCTTGTAAAGCGGTTTTACAATTGTGGGCAATGCAAGGCATTCAAAACCAGTTCTCTCTAACAAATTTTGTTATATATATATATATATATATACTGCTCAAAAAAAGGGAACATAAAAATAACACCCTAGATCTGAATGAATTAAATATTCTTCTGAAATACTTTGTTATTTACATAGTTGAATGTGTTGACAACAAAATCACACAAAAATGTAAAAATTGAAATCAAATTTTTCAATCCATGAAGGTCTGGATTTGGAGTCACACTCAAAATTATAGTGGAAAAACACACTACAGGCTGATCCAACTTTGATGTAATGGCCTTACAACAAGTCAAAATGAGGCTCAGTAGTGTGTGTGGCCTCCACGTGCCTGTATGACCTCCCTACAATGCCTGTGCATGCTCCTGATGAGGTGGCAGATGGTCTCCTGAGGGATCCCCTCCCAGACCTGGACTAAAGCATCTGCCAACTCCTGGACAGTCTGTGGTGCAACGTGACGGTGGATGGAGCGAGACATGATGTCCCAGATGTGCTCAATTGGATTCAGGTCTGGGGAACGGGTGGGCCAGTCCATAGCATCAATGCCTTCGTCTTGCAGGAACTGCTGACACACTCCAGCCACATGAGGTCTAGCATTATGACGAACCCAGGGCCAACAGCACAAGGGCTCTGAGGATCTCATCTCGGTACCTAATGGCAGTCAGGCTACCTCTGGCGAACACATGGAGGGCTGTGCAGCCCCCCGAAGAAATGCCACCCCACACCATTACTGAACCACTACCAAACCGGTCATGCTGGAGAATGTTCTCCACGGCGTCTCCAGACTTTGTCACATGTGCGCAGTGTGAACCTGCTTTCATCTGTGAAGAGCACAGGGCGCCAGTGGCGAATTTGCCAATCTTGGTGTTGTGTTCTTTGGCAAATGCCAAACATCCTGCACGGTGTTGGGCTACAAGCACAACCCCCACCTGTGGACATCAGGCCCTCAGAGTCTGTTTCTGACCGTTTGAGCAGACACATGCACATTTGTGGCCTGCTGGAGGTCATTTTGCAGGGCTCTGGCAGTGCTCCTCCTTTGCACAAAGGCGGAGGTAGCAGTCCTGCTGCTGGGTTGTTGCCCTCCTCCACGTCTCCTGATGTACTGGCCTGTCTCCTGGTAGCACCTCCATGATCTGAACACTACGCTGACAGACACAGCAAACCTTCTTGCCACAGCTCGCATTGATGTGCCATCCTGGATGAGCTGCACTACCAGAGCCACTTGTGTGGGTTGTAGACTCCGTTTCATGCTACCATTAGAGTGAAAGCAATGCCAGCATTCAATAGTGACCAAAACATCAGCCAGGAATCATAGGAACTGAGAAGTGGTCTGTGGTCAGCACCTGCAAAACCACTCCTTTATTGGGGGAGTCTTGCTAATTGCCTATAATTTCCACCTGTTGCCTATCCCATTTGCACAACAGAATGTGAAATTGATTTTCACTCAGTGTTGCTTCCTAAATGGACAGTTTGATTTCACAGAAGTGTGATTGACATGGAGTTACATTGTGTTGTTTAAGTGTTCCCTTTATTTTTTTGAGCGATATAGATACATCTATTTTTTCCCATTACAAAGGAAAAAGTATGGTAATTTTATCACATACAATACAACTAACATCTTTAAATGTGTGGATGTGGTCTCCAATATGTTGGGTGAACATTTAAGGAATATCGAAAATAAGGTTTTAACAAATTCAGTATACTCTCATTTCAGAAGAGTTCAGAACTGTGATTTTAAATTTGCTGAATTTTCATGGTATTCAAGAAGTAGCTATAACCATATGGGGGGGTGGGGGTTGACTTCCTAAAAATTCTCAATATAACTGATGGAACGGACCTTCAATTTAGAGACCCTCTCCATATGGTTTAAATATGGATTTTGATATGTGCAACTATATTTACAAAGTGTACCAGTATGATTTTAGAGATTTAGGAGTGCAATATATTATGAGTACAATATGCATGTATACATCTCTATGAGGAAGTGCTGATTGGCCAGGGCTGAGTTTGGTTTGTGCTGCTCTGCCTCCTTGACAAGCTTAGCCAATCGAATGCTTTCCTATGGGAAAGCATTGTGATTGCCTCAGACCACCACTTCTGATGAGGTCAGGCAAACCACGGGCAGGGACAGAAACAGACTGGAATAGGTACAATTTTATTCTATTTAGGGAGGGGGCAGTAGATTTATTTTTTTAACACAGTAGGGTCAGTGATACAAGTTTGTGTTCCTGACCCCATAGTGTTCCTTTAAAAAAGGAACACAAGTCACCAAAACTTCAGCTTAATGAAGCAGTTTTTATTTAGATCATGCCTCTGAAGTTACACTGCTCAGTTATCTTCCATTTATTAGTTGAACCACTTATTTCTGTTTTTGCAGCCCTAGCCACACCTCCCCTGGTTGTGACTGATACAGCCTGCATAAACAAGAAGTTTCATTTTCAAATCTGATTTAATTTTAATAGTTTTTATCTACTGTTCTGTAAATTGAACTTTATTTACATACAGGAGGCTCCTGCAAGGTCTAACCAACTATTAAAGTGGGAGATGAGAAATGCAAAATGAAACAAACTTGCAATAAAAAGGAAGTGGTAACAATGGACAAATCTTTACAGGAAGTGTTTAGGAAGGCTGTGCACGTCACATCAAGGGATGTGTCACTAGGGCTGCATAAACAAAGTGATTTAACTACTAAATGACAGAATTGAGCAGTGACTTTAGAGCCATGATACATACACCAAAACTGCTTTGAGAAGCGTCTGTGACTAGTGTCCCTTTCATTTACATGCTTTGCTGGACAATTCTTGGCAAAACATGCTAGTAAGTATATGCCATTCTGTGTACATCACTGCTGGAGAAAACCCAGAGCTTGCACATATTCATTATTCTAGATTACAAGCTTGTTTTAACATGATCCTAATCAATGTTGTTCCTGTAACATTGTTATTGTTAAGTTACTCTTTTATAATATTATGGAATATGTTGGTGCTATATAAAAATGCCAATAACTTTACTGGGGTGAAACGGGATAATCACTTTTACAAAAACCCATTACCAAAACGTAATGAGTTCTTAAAAATCAATGAAAATTCAGTGTAAAACTGAGGGTTAAGAAACCATAATATTCTAAGTGCAATTTCTCCTTTTGCAGATTTAGTAGCTCTTCAGATAGTGTTACAGAAGTCAGACCACAATGGGCTGCATTACTGGCATATGTTAACCAAGTTCTATTTCAGGAGCCCACAAGCTCTCACGCTAAGAAAAAATAATGTCTGCAGTTTAGATTTTAGCCATAGTACCTTTTGTTAAATTTAGAAGTTTGTTCCAAAGTAAACATTTCACATGTACACAGTGAATCATTTAAAGAACATCTGATATGTGTTGGGTATAAGACATGCAGGAGAGGGGGAGGGGAGAATTATACACAGTTAAGTTTGCCAGTAAGAGTAGTTTAACTCTTGAATTTGGGTTAAAACCTACAGCATGCCTCAGAATTTCTACTTTCCACCAGCGAGAGAAACACTTTCCATAACTTTATTATATGACAGGATGCTTCACTAATATGTGCACCATGGGTCAGGTTCTATAGTCACAGTGCAGCAACATCTTCAGATATTGCTCTGTGCAGGGAAGACTTGGAGAGGCCTGAGAAGTATAAAGCGCAAGTAATGTTATCCCCACACATCTTTGCAAAGGCTAAAGCCATGAAGTGGTTAAGTGCAGTGACATCAGTTTATTGTACAAAAAGTTTTCACACTGTCTGACCAGAAGTACATGTATATGGTGGCAGGACCCTGTCATATTCTAAAGGTATGGATTAGTTTTTATAAACCTCATTAAAAAGTATAAACGAATTTCCTTTCAATACTTGATGAAAAGATTATATTAGAAGCCATATTTGCAATGGCAGTTGTCTGGTTGACAGATTAGAATTACAGGTTTTAAACCCTGATAGAAACACTATGTGCCGCTCACATTAACAATATTATAAACCTTGGATTAAATATTGGTGGAGCATTATATAAAAGTGATAAAATAAAAAAACATGTAAGGTCTGCAGCTGTTTTATTTACAAGTTTACATTGAACAATCAAAGAATGAAAGAAACACTGACTTTGAAGCCTGGTTAATAGAGAGTAATGTAACAATATGCAGCATGGATGATTACAATATTATAAACAAACTACACTGAAAAATTAATGCCAGTAAAAGTCTTGGCCATAATATTAAGAAATATGATATACAAGTTGAAGGTTTGTGATTGAGTTTTTTTTTATCATCTTAAAGATAGTAGTGAGAAATCTGAGCGTGTCAGATTTGAACAAAAACTGAAAAAAGGGAAAAACAAAAACAAAAAAAGAAGGCTGTGACCATCCATACCATAATCTCTTAGATTAACCCTTTCCCTGCCCACACTCTACTCTGACAGGTAAAGCGTTAAGGGAAGTAGAACAGGCAGTTTACTTATTCAAGTAGAATATATTCCCAGTGTCCGTATCTTCTGTAGTGGAATTACATTAGAAAGCAGGAGGACTTCCCTTGTGAACTTCCGCCATCAATTTTTTCTGCTTCCAAAATTATCCTTTTAAAAACATCAACAGTAGTCTGTACAGAAGAGGGGAAAAAAAAAAAAATCATAAGCACATGTAGAAATAACAGATTAAAATTGTATTAAAAAAATAACACGCAAGGTACCAATACTGAAAATAGGTAAACAATTAACTTCATGGGAAGACAATGAACGTCAAAACCCTTAAAGGAAAACTTTAGATCCCTAAAGCATGCTGAAGTGTTTTGTGTGAAGAGTGTCCTCCTTCATTCTACAAAAAGTGTAGATTTCAACATAAGTTTACCTGGTCACACCCCCTTGCTGTCAGACCAAGCCTCTTACTTCCTGGTTTGGTTAGCTTAGTGGAGCTAAACTCAAGAGGCAGCAATTGCCCAGAGCAAATTGTTCTCATTGAACTGCATTGGGGAAGTCTGATTGGACAGCAAGAAGAAGTCAGGCCATGTTAAATTGGGAGAGCATGCTTATAGTGCAGACACAAGATCGATATTTTTACAAAAGATGTCTATACCTCAGTGAGGTTTGGGCAGTGAAGAGTCCCTTTCAATGAGTTATCACACAGAACACATTGCGAATTTAAACCTGCTTCAGAAAAGTACACATTTAAACTTCCAACACAGACAAAGTCTGCACACTGCACGAGGGAAAGGGCTAATCAGGCAGCCAGCCTCCAGGGACAGACAGCAGATGCTCTGAAAGGTTGCAGCAATTTGAGTGGGGAAAGGAGTGTAACAGCCAGACACACCAGCAATCCCACAAGTATATAGATTCTAGACGAATCTGGAGAGTTGCTTTAATCCCCTTGCTGCACGCGTTGTACCTGATTTTCTTTAGCAGATGACTCCAGGAAGGCTGCGTGCCATGATTCAGCTAATGCTTTCCCTTCTTCAAAGCTGATCACCCTTGGGATTTAAAAAATAAATAAAAACTTTTTAACATTTAATTGATAAATCACAATTCCAATAAGAATATGACTAGAAGTCAAAATTATTTAAAAACTGCCCATTAACACCTGACCCTTGAAAGCCATTTATAAATATACCTTAAAAATGTGTTAGAAGAAAATCTTTAGTACTTTGTAATTTACCCCACTCCCTTCCACACCAAAAAAACCCCCCACAAAACAAAAACCTTAAAAGATGAAATGTAATAAAGCTTAACATAAGCAGTTGACAGTTGTCCTTCAACCTTTCACCTATATTTACCTAAAACACCTTTACAAAGTTAAATGGAATTTGTTGGGTCAATATTTATTGCTTCTAGTATACCCACCTCTCCATATGCAAGTCCTTCTTATTGCCGACAAGCATTATGGGTACCCTAACGTGGAGGGGAAACAGACAGAATTGTCAGTTTATTCTTCACAAAAAAAAAAAAAAAAATTAAACATTTTTTTTAAAAAGTATACAAAAACAAAACAAAACAAAACACAACTTACTGAACTTTCCCCACCATATCCAATAATTTCTCATAGATAATTTTAATCACCTCAAAACTGCAAGAGGAAAAAAAAAAAATAATGAGATTGAAATACAAATTATGCAAAAACAAGTCTAGTAAACGGCAAATAACTCACTTACATGAAAAGGTCTAACATACAGAACCAAAATACAATACTTTAATTAGCTGGGATAATGCACCTTCATGTACTTCTTTCTAACTATGTGGCACATTGTGATAAAGGGATAAGGTGATTGGCAGAGGGAATGTCCAATAAAACAACCCCCGCTCCACCACCACAGAAAACAAAAAAAAAACAAAAAATATTACCTTTTGATGGATGTGACTGAATACACCAGTATATATCCATTAATGTCTATAGAGTATGTCGGAGGGAATATGGAGAACTCATCCTGTTAGGAATAAATAAAGATATTCAGTACCTGGATAAAGCACGGTCAGCCTAAACGGTAGCTGGAATGACATTCCTGATTTTGGAAGATTTTTGATCAAATTGTCTTTCAGAAAAGTCTTGTAACCTAAAAGTTTAACTTGACAATTCACACCTTAGCTAATATCCCCTGAGTGCAACTGGGACTGACCAAAAGGAAAATCTACTTTCTTGAAAAATAAGTCAGCCTACTCAAACAAACATGCAGACTTTTTTAGTTGCTCCCTTATACAGAATCTTGTTTAATGCATTTTTAGAACACATTAGGAATACCCAGACAGTTTGTCAAGGTACATCCCACGCGACCAGCACACTGGATGAGGACAGATTACAACTCCATAGGCTGTGTTCCCAGTTTTTCTAATTGAAATAGTTTTGTGGGCCAGGACAAATAGCTTGTCATGAGGGACAAGTAGACTACACCACCGCTTTAGGGCCTTGAAGAAAAATAAACAAAGTGAAATTTCTTTTGGGTTTACATGAGAATTGTTAGAATTCAAAATATCATTTTAGAACAAGACAACCAAATTTGGAGATTGGAAGGGGGAAGGGGACAAAAATTCAGCTAGGTTTTTCATTTCAACCATTTGTAGGGTTGCCACCAGGCCGGTATTTTACTGGTACAGCAGATATTGGAGGCCGCCTGGCCGGTGCCAGTATTGCAGTAACAAATGCCAGTATTTCTCAGTATAAACTGAGATTAGCGTTGTGTGGAGAGAGACAGGAATAGGAAGTTACAGCATCTCCCTCCCTGCCTCTCCCTGATCCGCAGGGGAGCAGCTCTGCCAGAAAGTCCAGCCAGCAGCTCAGGAAAGTGAGAGATGGGGTAACAAGCGGAAGGGGAGTTTTTAACATGTAACACAGGGGGATCCCGAGAGACACTAGGGGGACAATGGGAGACATGGGAAGTCTAGGGGACACAGACACTGCGCTGTGAGACAGTAGAATCAAACTGTAGTTTAGTTATTCTAAAGGTGTCAGTCAAGAAGGCAGATCAGGAGCCAGCAAACTGGAATACTATATTTAGGGGTGGCAAAGGGGGCCCCACATGTTTTTAACACAATAGGGTCAGGAATACAGGTTTGTGTTCCTTTAAGATTATTCTTTTGGTTTATTTACCAGTCAGAGTAAAAAACAGGAACTTAACATGGTGTGCCCACTATAAAAAACAAACAAAAAAAAAAATTTAGTTATCACTACTCATAACAGAGCACATACCTGCCCAGCAGTATCCACCAACTGTAGCTGATAATCTTGTCCATTCACAGATATCAATTTAGTAAATGCTGCAAAAGTAAAATTCGGATCAGAACATAATTTTCCCAACCCATCGTTTGTATGAACCATTATACCCTGCACGCAAGGAACCATCCACCTTGAACAGAATTGGTCTATTTTCCAAGTTGTGATCACTTGGGCTTACCTTTAAAAAAAAAAAAAGTCTATAAAAATTACTCACATGCAAGGCTTAAAATCTGAAGTTCTATGCCACTAGTCAGGCCTCAAAAAGTTTACTTGCCACAGCATAAGCAACAGAGGTGAATTTCTACTCACCAGTGGTAATATGGTTAGTGAACCCTGCTCACAATGTTTTACGTATTTATTGTTTTGGGTTACATTTTTGAAGATACAAATACAGAGCCGTTTCAAATATTAAAAAAGCTCTAAGCATAAGTAAAACTAGTAGCATAAAAGGGAAGCCCCAAAAAGTCAGTTATGCAGTTTAACAAGCAGCATACAGATAGAATGTTATGCTCTTAACCAAGTCATGAGCATTTAAGAGTATTCAAATGACATTTGATTGCCTAAATTACATATTTAGTACTATAAATGAAGGCGCTACTGTATCGCCATACTGACCAGTGTCACAATATTTAGTGGATTGCCCCCCCACCCCCCTTCAATGTTGAGGGTATCACACCCCAGGCATTTAATCAGTGTGATTGGCCCCACAAGGATCACCAAACAAAAGATCCTCTAAAGATTGTTAAAGTACACACACTAAAGCATAGAAGCATTTTTTACTTTACCTCTCTGCGAGGGCTCTCACAAAACACTAAAAAACAGTTACTTACTGTTTTCTATCGTAGGATCATAAGAGTCAATAAACTGTCCTTCGACAAACTGAATTGTCAATGAAGATTTGCCTAAAGACAAGGAGGGGGATCATTGTAATTTGAATATGCCATTTACATAGGAAAAAAAAAAAATGAACATACCAATGTAAAACTACCACAAGTTAGGTTATACAAATTGGACATTCAACAATTTACCAGGTTGCACAATGTAACCGACACTAGCTGGGGGAACAGCGTAATGGTTCTTACTAAAAAGAGATTAACTAGTTTCCCTTTTCTCTCAAAACAGGAAAGGAATGCCATGCTTCTATGCATGAGAAGTCCAGCAGCTGTGTTAGCATTTGTCCACCTGTGATTGGCTGACTCCAGCAATAAAGCCGCATAAGCAAGGAGAAATAGGACTTTAAGGGAGAAACCAAGAGGCACTGCATGCTTCAAGGACCACTCTAGCTTAATGAAGTGGTCTGGGTGCCAGGTCCAGCTAGCCTTAATCCATTATTTTATAAACATAGTTTCAGAGAAACTGCTATGTTTTATGAATGGGTTAAGCCTTCCCCCAATTCCTCTAGCGGCTGTCTCATTGACAGCCGCTAGAGGCGCTTGCATGCTTCTCAAAAAAAAATAGTGAGATCACGCAAGCATCCATAGGAAAACATTGATAATGCTTTCCTATGCGACTGGCTGAATGCGCGCGCAGCTCTTGCCGCGCCTGCGCATTCAGCCGCATGGGAGGAGAAGAGGATCGGAGGAGACCTCCTCGCCCAGCGCTGGAAAAAGGTAAGTTTTTACCCCTTTCCCCCTTCCAGAGCTGGGCGGGAGGTGGACCCTGAGGGTGGGGCACCCTCAGGGCACTATAGTGGTCCTTTAAGCCATGGTTATTTGGCCATAGCAGCATTTAGGCTCATATAACCACTAAATACATTGTGATGTGGCACCTAGAGTGGAGTTTTCATATTGCTGTAGTTCTACTCAAAATTTATAATGTGTGAAATGGCCAAGAGTCACCCATCAGTAAAGAGCTGCATTCAAAATTCGAAGAGTGAATGGATTCAGCAACAAATTTGCCTTGTAAGGGAAACAAAAGAAATGGAAAGCTCAAATTGTTCTATTTATGGTAAGCTGTGTGATGGAATTGCCAATTAAGGCTTTTCATATGCAATTCAATACAGCAGAAAATGAATGCTCTGCAGCGCTGCACCAGATACCTTGCATCTGCTGTCACATTGTATCTGTGTGAAGCATGTTTACATTGCAACACTAAGTCAGCCTCCTTTGGTCCGGTATGATGCTGGACGTCCTCACGCTCTGCATGAGGATACCCAGTGTCAGGTTTTACCCCATTGTGTAAAAAATAAAATTTAAACGCTTACCTATGGGAAGGTAAATGCATGCAGAATTTGCTTCGCATGTGCTTTAGCGCCTGCTTGTCGTGGTACGTCAGAACTCGGCCCAACTCCGAAAAGGTATGTAAACAATATATTTTTAACAGTTTACCCAGGCAGGGGAGTGTGAGGTTGGGGGAGATTGTGCCAGGAACACAGCTTTGTAGTATCCCTTTGAGCAAACTAAGATGTTAAGAACCACATTTTACATAGTATCTACAGTCAAGCATAACTCTGCATTGCAAAATTTGATACATATCAAAGTGAGCTTTTGCAGCCTAAGAACTTTTTAGCTGAACAGACCGCCTATTCTAAAATAAAAAAAATATGGGTTTAGAAGTGCTAGGCATTTGTTTTAATGTTCTGTGACTGCTTACCTTTCTAAAATAAATAGAACCAGACACCCCTTGATAGGAATCAGGTGTTCAACTCCTTAAGGACAGGTAAGTGCATAGGACGGTGTAGACGTGCTATGCTGCCAGTGTTTAGAGTGGGGTCCCCAAGGACGGCATAGCACGTCTATGCCGTCCTATGTACTTACCTGCTCACCGGCTATATGGGGGAGGGGGAAGACTTACCTGGCACCCTTGCTGCAGATCCGGCCCTCCTGTGCCATGTGAACGCGAGGTCCTTGTGAGGACTTCGCGATCACATGGACGGAATAGCCATCCACAGCAGTGCCAGCAAGGGGAGTGCCTGGAATTACAGGTAGTCCCCCTGCTGCCTGTAATAAGTTAAAGTACAGTTACACACTATAAATGCTCAAAGTATATATACACATACAATGTCTAAGTATTTTAATATCAAAATACATGTAGCATGATAATATATGTTAAAAATGAAAAACAAATTTGTAGTTTCATTCTAACTGTATTTTGAACACAAACATGCATTTCTAATGCTATAGTGTTCTACTTCGGATTTAGAATGCCCAATTTTACATACATTTTTGCCTCTGTGCCAAGACTCACTCCTCATGCCATCGCCTACTCTGCATCTGGTGAAGTTGCCCCACAGGCAGTCTCCCTCACAACTTCTCATCCAATCATAGAAGCATTGGGGACAGGGCAACATGTGCGGTAAGCACCAGAATTGTCAAATCCACTGCTTCCCTTTGATAATCATAGGAGGACATTTGATGTCCTCATGCAGTGTGTGGCTATGCCCAATGTCAAGATAACAGTCTAACTTTACTATAGCAGCGGAAGAACAAACCGTAATGTTTTATATTGCTAGACTAAAAATGACAGGCCCACTGCAGTCAGACCATTTGATTGAGATGAAGCTGCCTGGGTGCCTATATTGGTACATGTAGAGATTGTAGCAAGCATAAAGCAGCCCCACTTGCTATGTAGACCTTGTTACTCATTGAGACATGTCCAATAACTAATGAAAATCAAGGTGGTCACTAATGTATGTCACTTTACTGTGATTTCCAGTTGTGGTTGGACCACTGCATGGCAAGAGGATGAGGCCTCTATTGGTGAGGTTTTATTCTACTTGCCAAGCACTTGTTCAACACATTTAGTGTCCAAAAGTGTACTTGCTTCCTAATGGTCATTGTGACTTAAGACTAGGTAATGACTGAACAAAAAAAAAGTTTCCTATAGTAAAACTAGCATAGTAAAAAAAACAAAAAAATTGTTGGGAAGAAAAAAAAACAAAAACAAAAAAAAAACACACTAAAGCATTTTGATTCTTTCATAAAACTGAATGCATGGTCTCCTTTATTCTACCTTGCTGAAACCGCTAGGCTGGTTCTTTTCAACATGTGGGAACCCTCATCATTGTCTGCCCACAAATCTAGAAAAAGCCTATATATAACACTAGCAATACTTTGTCAGTTGATTTTTCCAGACTAGAATCAGGAGTGTGACCTTAAATGCCACCAGTTTTTAGTTGAAATAATGTAATAACTCCTCAAGAGTCACAGAAGAAAAAACCTGCACTGTTTACCCACGTTTTTATTGATTTTTTAAAATGCATTTTATTTTTATAATCAAAACTTAGGGACACTTGCGTGATATAGATATATAATTTTCATGGCAGTATTTTAAGCTTTGCCCACTGACTATCTTTGAGAGCTATAGATACACACACCACCAACTTCCTTTCTAAAAGCCATCTTTACACACCTTTATGTAGGTTATCTGACCCAATGCTCAGTTTTCTGCGACTGCCTTTGGACATTGGGAACAATGTATTGCTTGACAAAAAAATAAAAAAATAAAAATAAAAAAAACACACCCTTGTTCCATGAATAAACCACACAATTAAAACAAATGCGGTTTGTTTCGCAACTATTGAAAGACTGGTCAGATAACAGACAATGTGAAAGAAAGAGGATAAAGATGGCGGTCAGAAAAGTGGCGAGTAAGCAAGGCAAGTAAATAAAAAAGTTATACATTAATAAAATGAGAGGGTATAAAAGGTTAAAAGGAAGTAAAATATTCATAACATTGTTCCTTTAGGCAAAGCCTTTAGTTGTCAAAGTAATTCACCTATAACCACATGAACAAAAGGAGAACAAAATGATGGGCTTTAATGCTGGGATCTGTCACAAGGGTGTTGGCAGCATATCTGGGGTGCCCATGGTGCAGATAACAGCCTGCAGGTCCTGCACCAAGCTTCTGATAGCTTTCCCAAGAGAAACCCTGCCATGCTGGGTACACTTGTTGGCAGCGATCATGAGAAAAGTGCTCTCAGCCAATGCACAGTCTGGCTAGCCAATTGCTGAGAGCACCTGGAGGTTGAAGCCAGCACCCTCCAGATCCCAGGTATGTAGACAAACCATTTGAAACTTTAAGCCAATGAGCTTGCACTACATAGCATGATTTATCTCAGGAGATACAATGGTAGTGCCTAGCAGGAGCTTCTACTCTTAAATGAAGGAAATGAAAAGCACCTTATGACAACTAGTCATATATTGTGTGGAAAAAAGGAACATTCAGCATGTATATTGTGCTGGCATATACTTTGCCAATATTCCTTTTCCCAACAATCATGGCAGCGTGGAGCAGACAAAATAACTTGCCTTTCTCTCACTTAGAGGCTGGGTAGGGGTGTAGGCTGATGCTCTGGATGACTAGGATATAGCAGTAAACCGTTAGAGAGACATTAGACACCCATACCACTCCATCTCAAGTAAGTAGTGTGGGTGAAGTGTTCCTGCCCCCATTAGGCCTGGTTTACATTGCAGTGTTAAGACAGCCTTTAGTGGTTGTCTACCAGAGTCACTAGAAGCACTTCCTGCAATTTCATAGAGTTTGACTCCATGAAATGACACAAGGTCAAACGAAATCCCCATATGAAGGCACTGATTCAATGCTTTTCTGTGGAGAATGCCTAATGTGTCCCCCCTCCGTCAAACAATTGTTTATTTTTTTATTACTACGTCTAACTCCTGAATTTCAGCCTAATCAGAGATCATGTTGTAAACCAGAACACAGCCAAAATCTCATGTGCATGCTGTAAGATCATGAACAGATAACTGTTTAAATATTGGGAAGTGTGTGACAAATGAAATGGACACTCACAAGCCACATGTGCCAACACATCTAATTTCTTTCCTCCTAAATGAAGCCATGTGAGTATTCATGCTATGCAGCACTGAGTGGGAACATCTTTTAAAGAACACTTCCAGACCCAAAAGGCATTGTTTGCCAAGTGTCCCCTCTTTTGCACTTTGATAAAAGTGAATTTCTTTAAAAAAAAACAAAAACGAAAAACACTTTTATAAATTGCAATAATGCACCCGGTCTTACCAATTACGTTGTGTCCTAGCTCAAAAAACGCTTCCGAAAAAGCAGCACTGGATCCCATGCACCTGTGAGATATACTGCTTGTGCAGCATGGACAGGAGATTGTTGTACATGAGTTCTGTCTCCTAAAGTGCTCTATGAGAACAGAATTGGCTGGGTGATTAGCTGCACTTATGATCTCCCAGCAGGCAAAGCTACTTTAGAGACCCTCTGGTCTCTTGATTACAGACAAGTAACTTATTTAGGGTGCACAGTGGGCCCAACAAACTAAATATACTTTAGAGGAACCCTACAGGCACCATAACCACTACAGCCCACGATTGATTGCACAGCTTACATGGGTCCAGTCTTGTCCGGCAGAAGAAGCTAGATGGCACTAATCAGCCAAGCACAGCAGATAGAGGACTATGGTCAATTGCGCTCAGCTGAAGTTGCATATCAATGATCAAACCCGCTGAGCTGGGCTATTCACCTGTAGGGGTATGCAGCAACATGCACCTGGTGGCACTCAGGTAAGTTGTCAAACAGTTCTAAGGGCACTTCTTGCACTATAACCACAGCATAATACCTAGTGATTATAACATTGAGCATTAAACCACTAAATTTTAACACTAATGTTCCAGTAATTACGTGGTCACACGAGAATGGAAAGAAGGAAGCAGACACTGTTGTAACCAGCCTCGTGCGCATAGTCCATCCTTGACATCTGGCAGGATACCTTTGGATGCATAATACAAATAGCCACAGAGAGCCTTGCAACATAACCACTAGAATCCTGTTCTATTGTGTTTTACACCCCACCTCCTATATGCTAAGCTAGTTTGAGCAGGGTCCTCGTCAACCTATCATTTCTGTAGGTTCTCTTGTAATAGTTAAATCCACCCGCCTCGTAAAATATCGTAAAGCGCTACGGAAATAAGGCCTAGTGGTCAGGTGAGAACCTCCTGTTGAACCCCTTAAGGACGGCGGATATTCTATACCATACAGAACACTGGTGAGACCTCACTTTGAGTATTGTACGCAGCACTGGAGACCATATGTCCAGAAGGATATTGATACTTTAGAGAGTTTAAAGAAGGGCTACTAAACTGGCCAGGACTCAGGACATAGACAATTATTCACCTGGATGCCAAAGGGGGTAACGAATGGAAGTGGTGGAAACACCAGGGTCATTCCAGGAGTACAATCTAAGCAAAGACCTCAAATGGCTGACCAACACCCAAGGCTTAATAGCCCCCCGCGAGACCACTCCCCCACAGAGTGGTACCTCCCCTCCCAGAGACCACTCCCCCACTGACCGGTACCTCTCCCTCCCAGAGACCACTCACCCACTGACCGGTACCTCCCCTCTCCCACCCAGAGACCACTCACCCACTGATCGGTACCTCTCCCTCCCAGAGACCACTCACCCACTGATCGGTACCTCTCCCTCCCAGAGACCACTCACCCACTGATCGGTACCTCTCCCTCCCAGAGACCACTCACCCACAGACCGGTACCTCCCCCTCTCAGAGACCACTCACCCACAGACCGATACCTCCCCTCCCCCTCCCAAAGACCACTCACCCACAGATCGGTACCTCTCCCTCCCAGAGACCACTCACCCACAGATCGGTACCTCTCCCTCCCAGAGACCACTCACCCACTGACGGTACCTCCCCCTCTCAGAGACCACTCACCCACTGACGGTACCTCCCCCCCCAGAGACCACTCACCCAACTGATCGGTACCTCTCCCTCCCAGAGACCACTCACCCCCTGACCGGTACCTCCCCCTCCCAGAGACCACTCACCCACTGACCGGTACCTCTCCCTCCCCCTCTCAGAGACCACTCACCCACTGACCGGTACCTCCCCCTCTCAGAGACCACTCACCCACAGACCGATACCTCCCCTCCCAAAGACCACTCACCCACAGAGCGGTACATCCCCTCCCCCTCCCCCAGAGACCACTCACCCACTGATCGGTACCTCTCCCTCCCAGAGACCACTCACCCACAGACCGGTACCTCCCCTCCCCCACCCAGAGACCACTCACCCACTGATCGGTACCTCCCCTCCCCCACCCAGAGACCACGCACCCACTGACGGTACCTCCTCCCCCGGTACTCACCCACAGAGCGGTACTCCTCCCTCTCCTCCCTCCCGGGGTAGCCCCCTGGCCGGTACTCACCCACAGAGCGGTACCTCCCCCCTCTCTCTCCCCCCCCGGTAGCCCCGGCCGGTACTCACCCACAGAGCGGTAGCCCAGGATGGCGATTTTCCGCGATTTGGGCTGCGGCATCCTTGGAGACTCCACTTTTGTTTCTGATTTCAGACCCGAAGGCGCCACATCCACGAGAAACCGACAGCGAGAGAGCTCAGCACACACACACAGTCAGACCGCCCACAGCCCGCCTCTTCCTCTCCCAGCGAGCGAACCCGAACTATTTATCATCCACAACGCGCTCTGGGAAAACTCGCTGCGTCATCCCATGACCTGTCACTCCGGCCCGGCCGCCTGCGCTGATTGGCCGCTCCCTGTGGCAGAGGGCGTGGTTTCTGTCACTGCCTCGCCGCTGATTGGCCGCACGCTCTGCCTCTCTGACAGGGAGAGAAGTGGGCGGGGACTCCCAGGGATCGAAGGGCGGGGCGCACGTAAAAGTGGCGGGGTTTGCTGGTTGCGTGGAGCTTTAAACACTAGAGACAGCGCACACTCACTTTCATTGACGCCGATTAACGGTGCTCCGCTCCGGCTAAATAACTTCCGAAATGAAACCTCTACACAGCAGAACTCTATCCCTGAGTGGGATACCACCTCAGAGGGCAATGCTTGGCACCAGAGGCTGAACTGAGCGTTTTAGGCTCCAGAAAAATGGCGTCCTTTACGGAAGTGTGCGACCAGAAGTCGTGCTGACGCCGTGTTTGGAACTCCGTGACGTCACCGTGCGTAGTGCGTGAGATTGCAGAGTAGTGAGTCAGTGCAGGTGGATAGCTTGCCCACTCTGAGAGCTTAATAATAATAATAATAAGAAGAATGTAATAAAATACTATAATAATATAATAAAAATAATAAAATGTAATACTATAATAAAAATAAAATATAATAATGATAGATAATAAAATATATAATAAAAATATAATGATAAAAATAAAATATAAAAATAATAATATAATAATGATAATAAAAATAATAATAATATAGTATGATAATCATAATAATGATAATAATAATAAATATATATCTGGGGAATATTCACTGGAGTGGGAATTGTTGGCAATTCTCAATGACTTTAAAATTAGAGGATTAATTCATGAACATGAAGTTGTTATGGTGCAAGGAGGTACCTAACAGGTTAAATCATTAACCCCTTGCCACCCGCATTTATATAGGCTCTAAAAATATAGATTTATATATGTAATTTCATTTTAATTGTATTTTGATTATATATATATATATGTATATATATATATACACAGTGGTACCTCGGTTTACGACAGGACATTTCTTATTGTGAAAATTCGTAAACCGAAACGCTGGCATGGAAACCAACCCACAATGCAGATCACACAGTAAAAGGCAAGCAAACGGCAAAGCTCAGCTCCCTACCTTTCCACAGCTTGAGAAATGCACCAAAAAGTCCCAAAACAACTGCAAACAATTTCCAGAATGGCTCAAAAACTCTATGGAAAAGCCGCTCCAACACCTCCACACTCAACGCCACGTGCTACCCACAGGCTCCAGCATGCAAGGGGCAGTGCTATAAACCTCCCAGGTGCAATGCATCCTAGGGAAACTTGCATTGTATTGTGAAAAGAATTGTAAACCGAGGCATTATTTTCAATGGATTTTCATTTGTAAACCGAAAATGAAGTTAAACGAGGTGTTTGTAAACCAAGTTACCACTGTATACAGTATCTCACAAAAGTGGTACACCCCTCACATATTTGTAAATATTTTATTATATCTTTTCATGTGACAACACAGAAGAAATGGCACTCTGCTACAACGTGTGTAAAGTAGTAAGTGTACAGCCTGTATAACAGTGTAAATTTACTGTCCCCTCAAAATAAATCAACACACAGCCATTAATGTTTAAACCGTTGACAACAAAAGTGAGTACACCCCAAGTGGATGTTAGAGACCTTGCGCTCCCCCACCTTCCATTTCAGGATGCCCCATCGATGCTCAAAATGGTTTAGGTCTGGAGACATGCCTGTTCATCACCATAAGCTTCTTTAGCAAGGCAGTGGTCGTCTTGGAGGTGTGTTTGGGGGTCGTTTAACCCTTTAACATTCCAAAACACCATAAAACCTGTACATGTTATACTGTTCTATCCGTCAGATTTCGCTGAACACAAATATGAGTGTTTTAAAACACTAAGACATATGCACAGGTTTTATGGGATTTTGGAAAGTTACAGGGTCAAATGTAGCACAACCCCCTTTTTAGTTTTTACACATTAAAGGGACACTATAGTCACCAGAACAACTACAGCTTATTGAATTTGTTCTGGTGAGTAGAATAATTCCCTTCAGGCTTTTTGCTGTAAACACTGTCTTTTCAGAGAAAATGCAGTATTTACATTACAGCCTAGTGATAACTTCACTGGCCAGTCCTCAGATGGCTGTTAGAAATCCTTCCTGGGTCATGGCTGCCTAAAATGCATCCAAACATTCAGTGTCTCCTCCCTCTGCATGCAGACACTGAACTTTCCTCATAGAGATTCGTTGATTCAATTCACCTATATGAGGAGATGCTGATTGGCCAGGGCTGTGTTTGAATCGTGCTGGCTCTGCCCCGATCTGCCTCTTTGTCAGTCTCAGCCAATCCTATGGGGAAGCATTGCGATTGGACCAGGCCACCACGTCTGATGATGTCAGCAGACAGTTTTTTTTTTTTAAGGCAAACAGTATGCAGATCTACAGCTTCAGGCTTGAATACAGTAAGATTTTGCTATATTTATGGAGGCATGAGGGGCCTGGGGGGGGTGGGAGGGGTTGGTTGGTGGTTTTAACACTATAGGGTCAGGAATACATGTTTGTGTTCCTGACCCTATAGTGATCCTTTAAGTTTTAGTGGTTCTGGTAACTATAATGTTCCTTTAACACTAGGTTAGCAATTGATAATGATCTATATTGGTTTACAAATAACACATTTCTCTTCTTAAAAGACACCCTTTTGGTACCATAACTACATCTGAATAAAATTGTTATGGTGTCCAGATTTAACACAGTTTAAACCCACTGATAGGCTTGAACCAAGAACCCTTGGATAGAGGCGCATCTGATTGAGGCGCACAGCCAATCAGTAGCTTCCCATTCATGAAACCACTTGAGAAACGTGCATACGTTACTCAAGCTGACCTTTATTATTATGTGTCATGCCAAAAGCATGAGTTGGTGTTTGATGTGTGTTTATATATGTTAAGAGTTGTTTTTTTTTGTAAACCTTGGGATGACATTTATTGTGGTCTTTGATCTTGCACCAGGCCTAGACCATAAAACATCTAGATAGCCATCACCAGAGCTGGACACAAGGAATTTCATAGAGTGGGCAATAGACTGCCAGCCCAGCCCCCTCTGATCCCCCCCCAGGGGTCTGCCCACTGAGAAACCACTAGTTTAGATATATGAGGGTGTTGGACTATCCAGGGAGGTCAGTTATTCATTTTTCTTTTGTCAGTAACTTCTAGGAGACCTATACCATCTAAGACTCCCACAAGAATTCTATATGGGGTAAATATATGTAAGGAATTTCTTGTGTTTTCTCCTATTTTATTTTATGTACTGTTTTGCAATTTGTTATCTGTATGTCATTTATTTCTGTATTTTGTACTCAGCACTGTGAATCCTTTTTGTCAGATTAAATGTTTACTTAATCAGCTTGTGTCTCTGTTCTCTATGAGCTTCACTCTCCAGAGGAAAGCTCAGGTAAACACGTTACCAAAAAGGGTTAACTATATATGTTTTATCAGTAAAAGTAGAACTGTGATACTATAATTCTCCTGTGTGTGGGGTAACCTAAGACGCCCGGGTTTAAAAGTCTTGGTGGTGGCAGTAGAGTAGAAAGTAGTACTAAGGGGGATAGTGTAGAAGGGATTGCAGGGGTTAATTGAGTGGTTGCTGGGACTAGCAACAGGTAACCAGGGGTCTGGTGTCATTAACCCTGTCACTTCCACACTCTCCCCACTGTCTCGGCTGGGCCTATAGCCCACGCACGTGACAAACTGGCGGCAGCTAGTGGGATATATTTAGAGATTTTTAGTGCTTGCTAGATTTTACCTGTAAAGGGGGTCTTAGCACTAAAAGAAATTGCATACTTGTTTTTGTGTAATTTCCAAAGACCAAGCTCAGTGCTGATTTAAAATACATACAAAGTGCAAAACAGTTCTCCCCTCCCATCTTTTGTTTTTCTTTCTCTATCCTATTTGTGAATATGGAGGCCTATCGCAAACAATCAAAAGAGGCCTTGGAATTGTTGTGCCAAGAAAAGAATTTACCAACTTTTGGCAAAAATAAGGCATAACTTATTGCTGACCTTGTGGAGGCTGACAGCCATATTTTCCAGCCAGAGACGGACACTGAAAGGGTTACCGAGCTCCCTACTACTGCAGGAGTGTTGCATACTGAAATGCCTGGTGGTTGTACCCCTCAAAACATTAAGGACATTTGCTCAACTGATTTATTTCGGCAACTGATGGCTGCAAATCCTCAGGAGGCCCTGCATGTGATGATCCAACAGCAGGCTGCAGAAAGGGAATCTGCAGAGAGGCTAGCCGAAAGGGAGGCACAAAGGAGGCATGAGCTGGAACTTGCTAAACTGCAATTTACCCTTCAGTCCTCACTGAACAGCAATGCATCAGAGTCCAGCACACGTAGGCTCCGTAAGGATGATTTTCCTTCCCTTGAAGAAGGGACAGATTTGGATGTATTCTTAAAATGTTTTGAGAAAGTATGCCAGCAGCATCAACTACCCTCAGACAAGTGGGGCAGATATTTAACTCCACAATTGAAAGGGAAAGCCTTGGATGTGTTTGTGTCCCTTCCCCCAGAGACTGATAACAACTATGAGGCAATCAAATCTGCATTGCAAAAAACTTTTAACCTTACTCCTGAGTCTTACAGGAAAAAGTTTAGGAGTATGCAGCAATGCCCATCATCCAGCTGCATTCTATATATTGCACAATTAGAAACCACGTTCCGGCAATGGGTAACAGGAGTACAAGCTACTACCTATGAAGCCCTTAATGACTTAATGGTCCTGGAGCAGTTCTTGCAGACCCAGAGCCCTAATGTACGAGAGTGGATTTTGGAAAGAAAGCCAAAAAATGCTAGGGCTGCTGCAGAACTGCCAGATGACTATGCCGACATCCATGCACCCACATCCAGGCGTGGACTTGTGTCAGCTGCTACTTCGACCTGGAGAGAAGCTACAGTTCAAACACCACCTGTAAGATCTGCAGTGAGAACTTCACCGCCGACTGCCAGCGTAGCCGGGACTATGTCAAGTGAGTCAGATGCCCGCCGTTGTTTTCGATGCAACCAGATTGGTCATCTGAGCAGGACTTGCCCCATTAGGAATATGCCCTCACCAGTCCGTGGAGGGGCACCATCAGTATTGCTTGTGGGTGGGTCCGTGGGGAAACAAGAGGATAACCTGCAGAGTGTAATTGTGGGTGACCGAGTGACCATGGGACTGAGAGATTCTGGAGCTTCCTTCACCCTGGTGCGACCTGAAGTGGTGAATACGGAGGACATAATCCCTGGAAGAACCATGTCCATCAAAGGAATTGGGGGTGTATGCCCCGCTGTGCCCTTGGCACGTGTGTACCTTGATTGGGGTGCGGGCAAAGGTTTGCGGGAAGTGGGGATTTCAGAGGATATCCCTGTTAATGTTCTGTTGGGGAATGATTTGGGCAGGATGCTCTGTCACTATGCTCCAGCGGACACTGTTTGTGAGCCAGAAGGGCTGACTGCTCCACCTAAGGTATTGTGTGAAACTTTGGGAGACATTGTGGAGTGTGATTGCTGGGAGGGAGAGCAGGGTGTGGATAAATATCTACCTGTAACTGAACCAGTGATGTCTACCAAATGTGAGATAGGGGTGAGTAGTGATGTGCCTGTATCAAAATACTGTGAGGCTGGGATGTCAGAGAGTAAGGGAGAGGAGGAAGGTGAGAGCCAGGGATGTGTACCACTAGTCGCAGTGGTAACAAGTCAACAGTGGGTCAGGGCTGCAGCAGGACAGTCTGAGGTGCTATGTGAGATTGTGAGAGGATGGCCTGCCCTGGAGAAGAAATTATGTGAGTGTGTGCAAAATTCTGTATCTGATCAAGGGGGGTCAAATGTGTCCTGTGAAAATGTATGGGAAAAGCCTTCCAGCGAGAGGGGGCTGAATGAATATATGTGCCAATATGTGCCTGAAGCAGATGTATGTGATGCACTGGGTGAAAATGTGAAGGGACAGCGAGGCTATGAGGGAGGGCAGAGGGTGTGTGAGCTTTACTCTGCGCCAGACTTAGCCAGTTTCCAAAGTTCTGTATGTCTGATGACCTGGAGTGAAAGTGAGGGGCACGGACAGACTCAGCCTGTGGGTCCAGGAAGGATGGCTGCAGGGAAACATACTGTTGGAGGAACCAGGAACCTTGTCAGTTTATCACAACTCACGCATACACCTAAGCAACTTTCTGATTGTGAACCAAAGGTTCAGAGTCTGATAGTGCAACAAGCCCAGCAGACAGACCGCAAAATAAAAGAGATGATGGGTGTTGATACAGCACATCTATCCTGGGAGTGTTCTCTGTCTGCTTTTTTGTGTGCTTACCGGGGAGTGCTACAGAAATCCATTGGTTTCTTCCCCTTACAGCTACTACATGAGCGCAGTGGGTGTGGTTTAAGGGATGTTACCAGAGATCGATGGGAAATTGAAACAGGCAAATCAGGCATGTTTGTTGAGGGTGTAGCTGTGGTATGGACTGATCACAACCTGCTGCAGGTGACAGGTAACACTGATAAACTGCTCCATTGGAGCCCTATCCTCCAACAGTATAATTTCACTGTCCAACACAAAAAGGGCAGCTTGCATGGGAATGCAGATGGCCTGTCTCGGCAACTAGAGGGTTAATGGTAGACAGATAAATCAGCCTGTGGCTGCATTTTTCTGTCCACCATCTTAAGGGGGAGGTGTCATGCCAAAAGCATGAGTTGGTGTTTGATGTGTGTTTATATATGTTAAGAGTTGTTTTTTTGTAAACCTTGGGATGACATTTATTGTGGTCTTTGATCTTGCACCAGGCCTAGACCATAAAACATCTAGATAGCCATCACCAGAGCTGGACACAAGGAATTTCATAGAGTGGGCAATAGACTGCCAGCCCAGCCCCCTCTGATCCCCCCCAGGGGTCTGCCCACTGAGCAACAACTAGTTTAGATATATGAGGGTGTTGGACTATCCAGGGAGGTCAGTTATTCATTTTTCTTTTGTCAGTAACTTCTAGGAGACCTATACCATCTAAGACTCCCACAAGAATTCTATATGGGGTAAATATATGTAAGGAATTTCTTGTGTTTTCTCCTATTTTATTTTATGTACTGTTTTGCAATTTGTTATCTGTATGTCATTTATTTCTGTATTTTGTACTCAGCACTGTGAATCCTTTTTGTCAGATTAAATGTTTACTTAATCAGCTTGTGTCTCTGTTCTCTATGAGCTTCACTCTCCAGAGGAAAGCTCCGGTAAACACGTTACCAAAAAGGGTTAACTATATATGTTTTAGCAGTAAAAGTAGAACGGTGATACTATAATTCTCCTGTGTGTGGGGTAACCTAAGACGCCCGGGTTTAAAAGTCTTGGTGGTGGCAGTAGAGTAGAAAGTAGTACTAAGGGGGATAGTGTAGAAGGGATTGCAGGGGTTAATTGAGTGGTTGCTGGGACTAGCAACAGGTAACCAGGGGTCTGGTGTCATTAACCCTGTCACTTCCACACTCTCCCCACTGTCTCGGCTGGGCCTATAGCCCACGCACGTGACATTATGTTATTATTTATATAACGCCATCAAATTCCGCAGCGCTTTACAATGGGTGGATGAACAGACATGTAGTTGTAACCAGACAAGTTGGACACACAGGAACAGAGAGGTTGAGGGCCCTGCTCAATGAGCTTACATGCTAGAGGGAGTGGGGTAAAGTGACACAAAAAGGTAAGGATAGTATTAGACTAGTGACAGTTGCAAAAGAGTTATCAGTCAGGAGCTATAAACAGTTTAATTGATACACTTCTATGAAGATGTGGGTTTTTAACAATTTTATGAAGGAGTGGAGACTGAGTGAGCATCTAACGGAGGAGGGAAGCGAGTTCCACAGGAACGGTGCAGCCCTCGAGAAGTCTCGAAGGCGAGCAGCAGAGGTGGGAGTATGGACAGAATATAGACGTAAGTCTTCAGCAGATCGTAAGGGCCTAGACGGGACATACTTGTGTATTAGGAAGGATAGATAGGTGGGAGCAGCATTATGAAGAGATTTGAAAGCAAGAACCAGAATTTTAAATTGAGCTCTATATTTTACAGGAAGCCAATGTAGGGACTGACAGAAGGGTGAGGTGCGGGCGGACAGGAAGATGAGCCTGGCCGCCACAATCATTATGGACTGTAACGGCGCAAGTTGGGAGCACGTAAGACCACTGAGAAGCAGATTACAGTAGTTAAGGTGAGAAAGGACAGTGGAATGGACCAACACCATAGTCGCATCTGGCGTTAAGTAGGGGCGGATGTGCACAATGTTTTTGAGATGGAATGGAGAGCTACTGACTGGCTTAGAACATCAGCTGACTCAGCAGTGCCTTTGATTCAAGCATTGGACAACAGCAGAATGAGAGTGGCAGAGTTAACGGACACTGGATTAAACACTTTGAGGGTTAAACTATTCGTTAATGGTTTAACTGCTAAAGTTAAACTGGCACCTGGGACCTCATTGTGCCATAACAATCTAATTCAAATTAAGTTGTTTTGGTGTTGTTTTAATCAGCTCAGTGTTCCTTTAATCTGGATTCCTTCCCTGTGTGGAGCTGCTGTACCATATAAAAGCTTGGATAAAAATCTATGCCTACGGACAGTCAAGCCTGGAGTACTTGAGTTATGGGACAACATGTTCAGACAAGAACTATAATGTGTATTCATAATAATGTAGTAAGGTTCTTGGGTTAATAGCAGACCAGGGAGCCACGGAAAATTTAATTGAAAACTAGATCGAGGCACACTGTCACCTTGAATAGAATATCTAAAACAAAATTCTGCATTTTTTTTTTGGCGCAGAAACATGTTTTTATGATAACTTAAGTGATTGCCATTCTTTCTATGTTACATTAGACCCAGTACCCTTTTATTTATAAAGTTGATTCAAGAAGAATTTAAACCATCTGGCTGTCTTTTAATGAACTGGAATCCTTCAGCTGTGCTAAAAATCTTCCTTTTCTCCAGAGGTTTCTAGATAATTGTATAACTCCACGTCTAGGGAATATTTTGTTTGAAGATGACTTTGGATTTTAAAAGTCATAATTCATTCAACAACTATTTCAGCACATTCTTTGCAAACTATTTGCTCACTAGGCTGAAGCGTACAGTCTATGGTTAACAGCTACATGTAAAATATCTAGCTACAGGGTCATGTTAAAGATTTTATTCACCAAACACTGAATTTATATGAATTGAAAAGTGAATGAAAAAAAATTAGGCAACTACATGACATTTTATAATTTCCAGGAAATAAATCCTAAATCTCGGCTGTAGTCACAATTTGATTGCTTTAATTTCAGTTTTGCAATTTGTTTTTTTAAATTCAACACTATTTGTTGTTTTGTGAAAATTAAAAACCCTGAAAGTTCGCTTTCAAATTATTTGCCAAATCACTGAGCACACCCTTTTGTAGAAGCTTTCACCCCCACCACAACTACAATACACTGGTTCATTTAAAGGGGCACTCTAAACACAAAAACAACTTTAGCTTAGTAAAGCAGTGTTAGTGTACAGATCACGCCCCTGCAGTTTCACTGCTTGATGCTCTGTCATTTAAGTGTTAAATCACTTTTGTTTCTATATATCCAGCACAGTATGTTTACTTTAGAAGTTTTCAACTCTTGCTCTTTAAACTAAACTTTAATCGCACACAGGATGCTCCTGTGGGCTCTAGCAATCTATTAACAGAAAAAGTGCAATACAGAAATTTAAACATTAGATCACCTATTTACAGGAAATGTCTAGGGAGACTGTGTAAGTCACACGCGAGGAGGTGTGCCAAGAGCTGCATAAACAAGCTATTTAACTTCTAATGGAAATGAGCAGTTAGACTGCAGGGGCATGATCTTCATACCAAAACCACTCCATTAAGCTAAAGTTGTTTTGGTGCTTATTGTGTCCTTTTTAATGTATAATACGATGGATCATTCAAAATAAATACCAACCATTGCTTTTTAAATTTGTGAATTAGCACCATTATTCTCAGCCATTTTTCTTGTACCAGATATTTAAAGAAATAATATCACCATCCATAAACCTGTTGTCATGGAGATGCTCGTAGAAAAATAGGTACCCATCAAACCTGCTGTGATGTTTTACTAAAACAAATCTGATGAATATGTTACTGATCTGTTTTCAAGGCAAATCAGAAGGGACAAATGAATGTTTCATAATTTATAAAGGACAAGCAAAAGTATTTAAACATTTCTTTTGTTTTATTAACAAGGCCGTCAAACCACAGTAATCAAGCATTTTTTTACAATAATCAATTACCTTGTATTCTCAGGCAGTTTTAATTATGCAAAACCATTAACAATGAAAAACAAAAATAAAACCATATTTTACAATTGCATAAAAACAAACAAAAAGAAAGAAAATGTGCAGAGAAATCCATTTGTTCATGTGTCCGTTTCTTTGGCTAAATGTTATATTAAATATTCACTATATTTTCTTAAGAATTTAACGATCAGTCAGGGCCAAGTTTCAGCCTGTAGAAATCCACCAGATAATATGTGGGGCAACTTTTCCACCAATTCAAACGTGGACTTATAACCTAAATAATACTTCACATAAACAGATATATGTGGTGTTAGACAGCTGCTCACTTTAAAAAAAAAATCAAACAGATAATGCACAAGAATGCAAACAAAATAGAAAAAAAATTTAATAGAAGGATACCTTGAATTTCAGATCTCTTAACTACAAATCCACAGCTTCTTCGCTAATCTGGCCCTCCCCCTGTATTCAGGGGGAACTCTGTACAAACCCTATAACATTTTCTTTTCGCATGTTTCTGCTTTGATCAGAAAGTAGTTGGATACTCCCAGCCATATCGCCGAGCTCCACTGAAAGAGCACATACACACTTAATGTTACAAACAAACAGTACTTCCTCCACTAAAATCATGGCAAGCGGACTGCAAGGATACAGTATAGTCACAATGATGGCTATTCAAATAAGCAGAGGTATTTTCAGCCGTATCACTAAAATATCTCTCATGAATTTAACTGGGAGACAGGTTCTCTGTGTTGCATTTACTGCGGTTTGTGTATAGCATATAACGAAAGAAGTACTAGTGATCGGTGCGGTAAATAAAAAGTAGTTCAGTGTTCAGCTATAACCAGTAACTGACAGTTTATAGACCATGCCAGTGTTAATTTTCGTGGAACATTTACTTTTAGTCATCTTAATTGTTTTAGTTTTAGTCTACTAAATCTCCAGTGGATTTTAGTTGATTAAAATTGTAAGTCTACAAAATTAGCAATGGACAACGTAAGCTATGTATGTAGCTTGTTTCACATCCCAGGTCCACCTTAAGTGTTGATGCCAAGCAAAAATAGCTCTTTGATGCTTCGTTTAGAATCACATTGGTCTGCAATTCATTCCAGACCTTTTTGAACTTAAAGATAATGAATATCTGGTACAACATCTCAAATGGGAATGCATGATATTTGGCTCCCAAGCAATAAAACAGGAATAACCACCATGGTTATCCATCCGCGCCCTTAGCATAACTTGGGCTCAACCATTTCACTAGCCGAAGAAATGATTGCCAATAATGTAGCCTCACTTATAAGAAGGTATTAGCCAACATATACAGTACTTTATTTGTATAACAAAAAGCTGAAGACAGCAAGGGGAGCACAGAGTAAGATGGCCAGCAGTCAAATGCATTTTATGCAAAGTACTTTGTAAACCTATGGCAACGTGCTGGAGTGCACAATATGCGTTAAAATGTTATTCTTTCGACGCTGAAATAAAGTATCAGTTAGCGAATACCATGCCAAATGAGGCTACATTGTTAGCATTCCCATCAAGGCATTTATTTTGGTGTAAGAACCTAATCCTAGCCTCTGAGAGACAGATTTAACTCAGGTACATGGTTTTAATTTATCATTTAATGCATCCAAACTTTTGTCACTTAAATAGCCAACTTACTCCCAATATGGAACAAAAGATACAATAATTTGTTAAATCACCCAGACTTTGTAAAGGTTAAAAAATTCCTTCTCGTGCAAGGCTGTCTGATTGATTACAGTTAGCATAGCTGGGAATGTACAGACAACATAAATCTTAGTTTCAGGGTGAGAAATGACCTAATCTCATGCATTCTACCATGAAATCATTGTTTAGGTCAGGGCTTAACATTTCAAGTCCAGGTCCTAAAAGTTAGTTGCCACTGCAACCACGGAGGGTCCATGGCATACGGAATTTCCACTCACCAGCGGCAAATTTAGAATTTTGAGCCTTAATTAGATCCCAATTGTTCTATGCCTCTCACAGACCAGGAATTAGCAAGCATCCGTAGCATCAACACAGTAACTTTCCCAAATTGAGGTCCAAAAACTGTCAGACTGGCAACATTTAGTGGCAGCATTATTTATCTGCTGACAGTTGAACAAGGAAAACAAACCATTTCTCATTTTTTACAAAATCTATTTTTTTAATATAATATGAAACACATTAAAAATATGTAACCTCTTATAAAATCTCCCAAATGCTCTGAAATCCAATCCATTTATTTATTTAAAAGCTTTATCTTTTAATCCATTCCAATTGTGTATGTGAAACTATATACTAACGAACTGTTAGTCAACCTTTAGTGTAGGAAACCCTCGAATGTTCAATCTGAATTTATACAATGTCATTTTTAAAGTGCTAATATTTAATATGTTTTACATGATTATTTCAGCTACTGCTGTACATGCTCATATTGCATATGTAATATGAATAAATAATACTGTAACAGAAGAAGCCTCAAATATATACATATACTTCTCACCAGATATACAATACTATGATATATCATTGATTGAGATAGATCTATATCTCAATCAAACTCATTTGTCTTTGTTTTTATCTTTCAGCTTAATAAAATTTTCAGCATTTTATAGATATTTACATATTATCCCAGGGAGATACATTATATGGTTTGCAGGACTTTGTGTAGGCCACTCCTTTGCTTTGGAACAGCCTGCCTACCCTCATCAGACTCTCCCAGAGTAACTTCTATCTCACAAACCTGACTCTAGCTCTCAAAGGACCACACTCCCCTCTCACCTTCCAGTTCTGCCAGTTTCCTATCTTGTCACTTGGTTGATATCCCTCTCGATGCCTTTTCCTTTTGTGTCTTTATACCCCACATCTGCTAGACTTTATGATGGGTCACTCAATCAATCTATTGTTCCTGTAACATTTTATAATTGTCTCGTTTATTGTTAAATTTCCCCTTTTATAATATTAGCACTGCGGAACAAGTTGGCGCTTTCTAAATGCCAAATAAAATATGTCATAGACAGGACTAATTCTAGATACATTTTATAAGATTCTAGAACAGTTATAATAAAGAGGTTATCAATAAGTAGGCCAGGAACAAAACTAATTGATAATACAGTTAGAACCCAACAATAGCAGTGATAAAAAAATAAAATATAAAATTAAGTGACACTTTGGTATGTAAAATTATTACATCTATTTTTTTTCAAAATTTCCAATTGCCTACAGTACAACGTTTATATCTCTCTCCATATATATAGATCTCTTTTAGTGTTCTCAGTCATTGTAAACCGCCATCTTGATTATTTTTATCATTCTAGATTCCCCGGAATTGCTTTGATTGGACTATTCTCGTTAGACAGACGAGTTTGGCCGGATTACTCAAGCAACTTTGTACTTAAGTTAATATCTTGCACTGTGGTATTAATCTTAGTCTGGGCCAACAACCAAAACATGTGCCAGTGATTCCCTCCCCCCGCCCCATCATAGCTGTGCCAGCGATATGACCCTGCTGTGGTGGTATATTCAATAACAATAAAAGTACTGTATTTTTAGTTGTGAAAGCAAGGGTTGGGCACTTACCGAATAGGCACAATAACTGTAATTTCACTTTATACAGATATCAACTGACTTTGTACAGTAGTGGTACTGTGGTATGGTAAGTTCGGTAAGAGCTGCATTAAACAAAAGTACAACTAGTCCTATGCTCATTAAATGGACACTATAGTCATCCAGACCACTTCACCTCATTGAAGTGGTCTGGGTGCAATGTCCCAGTCCTCCTTAGTCCTGAAATGTAAAACATTGCCGTTTTAGAGAAACTGCAATAATTACTTTGTAGGTCTAAGACTGCCTCTAGTGGCTATCAGTCAGCCACGAGAGGCACTTCCTGGATTCTGACTATTAAATGATGATGGACAACGTCACACTCTGCATGAGGACTAGTGATGTCGCGAACCGTTCGCGAACTTGCCGCGAACGGTTCGCTACGAACCATTCGTGGCGAACTCCGGTCAGCTGACACATCCCTGCCAATCTCCGGCAGACCCTCCCACCTCCTGGACAGCATCCATGTTGAAGCTGCCTTCAACATGGATGCTGTCCAGGAAGTAGGAGGGTCTGCCGGAGATTGGCAGGGATGTGTCAGCTGACCGGAGTTCGCCACAAACGGTTCGTGGCAAACGGTTCGCGGCAAGTTCGCGAACGGTTCGCGACATCACTAATGAGGACATCAGTGAAAACAGAGCAGTGTAATTGTCAGTCCACTGTCTGTTACATAGTTAAAGATTCTTGGTTTTACCTAAAACTGTTCTAAAAAATGCATTCTCAAAAAGATTTTTTTTTTTTTTTTTTTTTAATCAGTGCACATTTGAGGTTTGGATTTAAATGAGAAATATCACCAAAAAAAATTGCTTTTGAAGTGTTGCAGCAAGAATTACATTCTACTTTGAAGTTGTATTGGCAATGGACATCTAATTTAATCAATATTGTCAGTTGTAACTCTCCAGTCTTTCTCTTGCCAAGTTGAAGATTGGTGTCCTCCTCTAAGCAGTGTATAATAGGCTTCTGCCAACTGCTGTCTGTACAATATCCAGGGAACACAGCAGCTCACACTGGAGGGAGGGCAACTATCTAACCATCACCAAAATCCCCAATATCTATTTAACCAAATGACAATCATAGTTATAACTTTGCAAACCAAGGAGGTCCACAAAATGTCTGGTTTGTTTTAGCTTAAGGTGCCAATCAATTAGAAAAATGTATTTTTATAGTGTTTCATATCGTCACCACCCCATGTACATTACAGTTGGTTGGGTTAAACGTTTAGGAAATTGATTAATAGGTATCACTATAAGATTCACAGCTATGGTGGCCATTTTTAAAAATTGTTATAATCTTCAAGGTGTTTTCACTTCCACCTGTAGATTTTGAAGGTCTATGTGTCTTTTAGATGAATGTTCTATTTGATGAAATTGTATATCATATAAAAAGATATTTCTATGTAAATCACTTCCCTTTAACTCAAGTTCCCAGGGCAATGAATTTTATCTGGATTTGCTTCACCGGTTCCCTGATCACCTTATTCTTTTAGCATGACTCATATAACCACAAATCCGGGATATGCAGGCTTTATCTGACTTGTGATTAAAACAACGCTATTAAAGGTGCTTCCAGTAATACTCGCTGAAATAGCTCAGTAATTGCAGAACTTTATGACAATGGAGAGAAAGTGGTTAAACTGAGAGGGTTTACACACTAAACACTAAGTTGTTGAGAGTACACACACACAAAATAAAAACCTATACATTTTAAGCAATATAGCAGAAAAAAAACCAAAAAACACCTGAAGGTTTTTCACAAAACCGGGTATTGTAGAGAGGTGGAAATTATAGGCTAAAGCAATAGAGCTGGGAAAAATGATTATAGTTTGACTTTCGTCTAAAATTTCTCTCTCAATTCTCTACAATTCCCATTTTATTGAATACCCTCCAGTATCCTTGAATATTTACACATTGCACTCACAACAAATCACTGCCAAGCAAATAATTCCCTTAAAAACTTTACAGCTTCGAAGTATCTCCCAAATTATCCCGTTGTAATAACGAGTGCTTCTTTCTTGTGGAACATGGTGAATTTATGCAAGACGTCATTGATGCCATTTCTGTGCGAATGTTAACATAGCTTAATAAGAACACTACATGAACAACAAAGGCTAGAAATTATGTTTTTTGTGGGTAGGGGAGGGGAAGTTACGTTTCCACACACACACAAAACAGTGAAAAATGGTTTCCCCGGTATCTGCTTCCATAAAAACAGCATATTTACATTACAGTACAGATCTTCCGTTTTCAAAGCAAGCTGTCGGTAGTTCAAGAACAGGCCTTATTGTTTGAGAAGCTGCGGTGAAAAATAAAGAGAATATTTGCACTTTGTTTTACAACAATCAACAGTTTATTAATGATATGGTGAAATGTTTTTACTGTTCACCAGAGTTGCGTAAAAAAAAGATTTTTTTTTCTCAATCCCCCCTCCCCTGCTTAAAAGTAAAAATAAATAAAGATGTATTTTCTTGTTCAGTGTCTCATACATCTGTACTCTAACTCTATCAATGAAATTGGTGTGAAGCCTAGTTGTTGTTGGAATTTTCAGATTATCATGAAAGCAGCTCTTTCCGACAATTAAGAGTTTAAAGTTCACTTGTGCGTCTGGCGTGTATAAATCGCAGTTCTTAGCTCTAGTATTTGGCTAGATGGGTTACAGCGCCCCCTTTCTGTGAAGCATAGCTTATAGTGCACTGCTAACCACTGCCAAGTTTTCCATGTTTCATTAGCCACGGTCAGTAAGAGAAGATTCAGAGGCAAATAGAAGCTTCTCCAGTCTAATTCTTCAGGTCCTTTCTCCTCCTCGTACAAACATCAAGGATGTAACTTGGCCCATCCACAGGGGAATACAGATGAAAGTACCACTCTCTCAGAATAGGGCATATCCCATTCAGAGTTGATGACACTTCAGTTAACACTATGGTTGCCAAAGTGGATATCGGTCATGTGTTACACTCCAGTCACACAGGGGTTACAGGCGAAAAAACAACAACAAAAAAAACAGGAACTACAGCTTTACCCTTTAAAAACCAGTGGGAGAACAATTCACGGGTGTGCGATCTACTGCTCGCCTAATCTGGTATTCATAGGGTTAACAGACTTTTCACATTCAATACAGTGCCATGCTTAATTGTAGCCCAGCCCAATCCCACACTAAAAACAACAAAAAGTTAAAAAAACAAAACCCACAATGTAATTGAATTCAAAAAGCTGGTAATACATCGACTTGGGTGTTGAGCTATGAGGACATTGTGATATAAATATCTTGAGCATGAGAAGAAAATAAAAAAAAAAAAAAAAAAGTACTGAAAACTAATTCGATATGTGAATGAGAAAGCAAAGTGTTTTCTATATAAATAACCTGTTAAGAAATCTGTTCTGTCACCACCCAACACGTTTCCTGCCAGACAGGCAACAAGAAACCGTTCTAAGGAAATCACCACCCGCCACAAAATGTCAAGTACGCATCACGAAAACAAAAAATCCTCTGATCATTTGTCTGCAGTCATTGCTTTGGAGGCAAAAAGTTTGACACAAAACCATCATTCAAGTTCGAAGAAACAAAAAAAAACAAAAACAAATATTTTTTTTTCATTTACATCAGTCATTCCACCTCGCTTTCCTTTCTCTTGGAACCTGGAATAAAACAGGATTTGTGTTAGGAAAGGTCATCAAAAAGAATTCACATAGATATTATTCAGACATTGTATGAGTGGAATGTTTTGAATGTTTCACGCTGGACAGTTTCATGATCTTGCGTTTTCTAAACATTAAAGTTACGCTATACCGTTCGGAAAACAAACCCATATTCCTAAAGCTGGTGTCCCTGTCTATCTAGAGCAGTCATCCCACCCTGTGGGCCATAATTTGAATTAAATCTTTTTACTCCTCTTTTTCAAGCGCAGAGACCCCCCCTCCCCCCCTCCCAGCGCTGATTATTTCTCCACGTCCCGCAACATCGTTATGGAGGCACGGTCTTCTCCAAAGGAGGAGCATTGGGGAACTGAGGAGCATGTGCGCATCCAAACCTCCAACAGGAAATCATTGTATTCCATCCTTTCCTACGTGCTTTTGCGCAATGTGACAGATTTACTCAGTATGACAGCCACTAAAGGAGAGTTTAACCACTCAAGGCAAACATTCCTCTTACTGCAAAACAGCAATGTTTTATCTTGATCTTGATTTTATCAACGGAACAAACTCTACAAGTTATGACCAAGGATGAACCACTTGTCATGGTCTTAGAACGCACTACATTATCATGTGCCGTGGTCCTTCCTAAACATTGTCAAAAGATAACTTGCATCTCAGTTGACCTTGGTCCCACCTAGGTCTATAAATGTTCAACTTCTGGAGTGCTTGGTCCTTTCCTTTAGTACATTTACTGAATTTTTTGTTAAATTATGTATATGGATTTTTTGGGGGTAAACTTTCACTTTTTATCTCCCTGAACAGCCATGTTGGGTCAGATTCTACTGTTATCTAACCAACTATAGCTCCATTTAACTTGCCTGCAGCGGTGATTGTAATTAACTTGAACATTTGATGACTGTTGTTCTTTAAGTTTGCAATAGCACTTCCGGCTGACCTTGATCTTTTATTCACACCTGGGAATAGTGTAAGTCACAACGAGCCCAATATCTCCCACGTACCACTCTAGGAATATCATTTAAGCTCCTCTTAGCAAGGACTCTGTGAAATATAACCTTTCTGAGTTTTGTCTCTTGCCTAGACCCCAGCTCAGCTGATTTCAAACAGACAATCCTTTAGCACATGCAGATAACAGATTTGTGGTTTTAAAGGTGTCCTAGCATCTAGCAATAGCTCTGTGTGTATTTCAACTGATGGACAGGTGTGAACTCACAAAGCTTACCTGCTGGAGAAAGAACCAAGGCTTGAAGAATATCAGAAAGCGATATAATCCCCACAATGCTACGTGCTTCATTTACAACTACAAGTCTGTGCACCTGCAACAGGAAACACAAACAAAAACACACGCATGAACAAAAAAACAAAAAAAAACAGAAAGTTGACTAGTTAAATAAAATACAGTCATGGGAGAAAGAAAGTACACCCTCTTTGAATTCTATGGTTTTACATATCAGGACATAATCATATCCGCCAATTAGCAGGTCTTAAAATTAGATAAATACAATCTCAGATGAACAACAACACATGACATTACACCACGCCATGATTTAACAAAAATAAAGCCAAAATGGAGAAGCCATGTGTGAAAAACCAAGCACACTTGATTGATTCAATAGCCTGTAGAACCACCTTTTAGCAGCAACATTGCTGGCAGCAACGAGATATTTAAAATGTATTTTATACATTTGGTGGGTAATTTGCAAAATTAGTTCTCACCCCTCTATAAAGTGCCACTAGGTCACAATTTCATGACAGATGCACTTCAAACTCAGAATTAAAAAAATGAAAATATAGCAATC